ACCGAGCCCTTGAAAATTCTCAGCCATCGCGTCACAACGCAACAGAACCGTCGAATGGTGGATTTTCTAATCAGATGGCGCGATCGGACGTCTGTGGATGACAGCTCGGTGCCACTCGCTGACATAGAATCACGCCCGATCCTAACAGCGTATTATCAGCGTCGGAATGTTTCCGATGCCCGCGGCCTCGTTTAGGAGGGGGGGGGGGGTAGTGTAAGGAATTTCCATTCCTTACAGAGTCATACGCTAGCGCGTACACCCGAACTCCTCGTCTCGTCACGTTCGGCCTCATTTGTCGGCCCAACCCTTTCCTGCGCCGCGCCTGGCACTGTCGCCATATTGTCGAACTTACCCACGTTCCAAGGTTATCGCCCTAGCATGCCAACCCCTATATAACCTCGTGCCTTCATTGCAATAGCGACCTTGTATTCTCACGTTATATTTCATTGACACTTCCTAGATCATAATACTGGTTTCTGGTGTAACAGTCGGCGGGGCAGCCACGAAATGAATGGAAGTTAAGAGATGTGCCGTAGATCGGGCATTTCCTACTCCATCACTGACAAATCTGAACTTGGGGAGGTTTTGCGCGCCGAAGTTCGAGACGCGTACTCGATTCATTGCACTTTGACAACTTTTGTAAGGATCTCACGAATCCTTACTGGGTTTCGCCACAGCGAGTACCGCGAACAGTTCGCGTCCGCAGCCTCGGCCCGCAAACCTTGCGTCAAACCACCTTCGCCGACCTAATCGGCCCCGAACCTGTTACCGAGGCGCCTCGAACCCTATTTGACCCCGTCGCCCTTGGGACTATCGAGCCCTTGACTGGTCCAACCCTCGAGGTTCAACCTGGTCAACTAGCAGTGTATAAGCCCGAGGCATTTCATGATTCAACACATTGTAGTCACGCTCCCCTATAGTATTCTGTGCTATACTCTGAGTTATATTTAATAATAGCTGGTATCAGAGCCACGATTCTGCCCATCTAGGTTCCTGATAGGGGAGCAGTCCCTATCGGGGAAGGGGGCGGAAGGATGCTGGTGGTGTAGCGCTTCCGATGCCGCCGGATCCTGTCTGATGGACGGATGGGATTAGCCGGTCCTCCCCTTCCTTGGGCGTGGACGGAATTATCTTCCGTCAAAGTGATGGTGATGTTTTCGCCGGGATTTTCGGGTATGTTTGCTAGTGTTTCGTGATCTTCGGAAGGTTCTAACGGTGCTTTTGTTTTGGTTTCCGAAAATTGCGAGGAGTCGTCGGGAGAAGACAGGCGTGCGGGAATCCTCGGGCGGCCAGGCGATGGTCGCCAGGAGCGCGCGAATGGGCGAAAATGGCGGGACGTACGGCGATGTACGTCTGTCGTGCCATGTAACTGCATGGTGAAGTGCAGTTGCATAGCTGGCGTCGGTATTTCCGGCAGGCTAGTTGCATGCGATGGACGAGACTTCAGAAGTTTTTGCGGCAAAGGGCGGCTGCGATTGTTTCGGGAGGCCACGATCGCACGTCTCACGAGTGGGTGAGCCAGACAATAGGAGCACGAGGAAGACTTACCTCGGCGTTTCCTGCATGTGCTGTCTCACATGGAGGGGATGGAGCTGTTCTAGAATTTTCAGCAGGGGCGACTTCCTGAAGAGGGAGGCGTTTTCGTGGAGCAGCGATCATACCCCCACGATCAACGGAAATGGAGGTCATCACCCTCGGGTGTGTATTAAGTGTTTTCCACCGTGACGCCGTAAGCGTCAAACTGTCAAGAGCTGAAGCAGTTCGAAGTGAAACGACTGGAAGAAGTTGGGTTTTAGTTAAACGTCAGGCAGCTACGGATCCCCTGCTAACGGAGCTTCGTCGCTCGAATATCACCATTCTCACTACGTCGTCGTGTCGACTATGGGTTGTCCACACATGGTTAAAGGAGAGTGAACGTGCAATCTATATTGTGCTGAGGGGTGTCCCTGAAATTTGAGTGGTTACTGTTGCAGTGGAGCTGAGGGCTTCACCTGATGCAGCAGAAGAGTTTCCGACTTTTGCGGGTGTAAGATTCGAAGTGTCTCACCCTGGCACGTCGGGAGGCAGGAGGTGTTCAGCGGTCGTGCGAGGACTTCTTTAGTCCAACCGACTTTGTCGTGTGCTGTCCACGCCTGTGACAGTGCAGGTTTTTAGAGGAGTTAGTTAAGCAGCAGTGAAGCGGCAGCAGCAGCCGCGAGCTGGGTGAATGTCTGCACGGCCAGCTGGCAGGAGTGCCAGAGTATTTTGAAGAGTTTTGGGATACAGTTGGAGGAGTTTGACTCTATTCCCGAAATTTCGGATTGCGGCTAAGCGGAAGGGAGTTGACCCTGATTACGCGGGCTACTTCAACGTGCGATAATGCCTAGGACCTATTGTGGTGTAATGGCGGGCGCAACGATGGGTGAACGTCGACGCGCTGCTAAATGCCTGGTGCCAGATGGGGAATTCTACAAAATCCAGCGGCACTGCTGTTAAGCACCTAAAACGTCAGGGGGTACCGGAGTATTTACGAGTTTGGGTTACACTTGTGAGGAGATCGACGGCGTATGATCGCCAGCCATGATCAACGGCCGAAGACCCATGCCCGGGCAGTGAATGACGGGTACCCTAGATTAAAGTGTTCAGTTCATGCGTACAGCTGGTGACGGATCGGTGGGGGTGCAGTTAAAGAACGTCGAGCTAATGTTTTACGGGTGGCTGTGAAGCACGTGCAACAGTGAAGCGGAGTTGCGGTATAATGTTAAGTCACGGGTGCGGTTCCGAGAATTTTGCTGAGGTGAAGGAGTCGGTTTTACAGTTGGAGTTGTGCCCGCTATGTTTAAAGGTACGAGTGTCATCGGTCGATATTTGCGAACAGTTTGGTTGCATGGAGGGGAAGGAGAGCAGCAGATGTTTCGTCTCTTCCCGAATATTTCGGCGTGTACGGACAACGTAGCTGATGCAGCTGGCAGCATTCGACCCCGGGTTCTTTTCGAGGTTTTTCACAGGAGTGGTTTGGTACAGATTACAGGTCATCGACATCGTCGTCAACCTCTCGCCACTACCAGCTACGTTCTCCATCATCAATTCGCCTTGTTGGCTCGACATTATGTAAACACGTCTCGCCTCACAACCTGGCACCTGACAGCAGCAGTATCGATCATGGAGATTTGGTGTATCTGCAACTGTTGGAGCTGTGTTGGGGCCAGCTCGCAAACAGCGTTTGACTTGTGAAGCATTTTTGAGTTCGTGTGGGAGTCTCGCGGAGTAGTTACTTCTGAGTTTCATGACTCTTGGAGCGGTTTACCCTGCCGAAGAATTTCAACGTTGGAGCCGATTGGGAGTTTTACAATTTGGAGTTTTTGTCGCCGCATCTTCGAAGCCGAGTTCTGGGATTTTGCAACAGTAGCGTGGGTATGACGCGCACCCTGGAGTGTTGGGTTTCTTGGAGTTCTACCTGCGTTACTGGAGTCGTTTCTTCTTGGAGAAGGGGAGAAGGGCAGCTGCGCTGCAAATATTTGAAGACCCTTCAGCGTGTTCCATCATCCAGCTTCGAGCATCATTCGTCACCGTTACGCTTCCGCGCCTAATTTCATCACTTCGTTGATGGAGTTCGCTGACTTTTCGTAGGACACGGACGCGTGCTCTCGCATGTGACACGAACGACCTCGCGTTTTGATGAACGGATTTTCATTTCATCGGCCAAGTCATTCGCCAATTCATCATTTCAATATATTCATCTGCCACGCGCCATCATCAATCGCCCTTTCGACAGTTTTTACTGTTGACAATCTTCCGCTGGAGTATTTACCCTTGCCCGTTGGTCAGCTCAAGAACTCGACCATCTTCAACGTCTGAGATTAAAAGCGATCGTTTCGACGCTTTCTGACCATCGATCGGAGTTCGACCCGAAGACCTCGTCAGGACGGCGTAATCATTGTGCTTGTCACTGTGCTGAAGACCTACAGCCACATCGGGGATTACTTTTAATGATAGTTCGGCCTTCGTTATACGGAGGGCACTCTTTCGAAGGTGGGAGGATGTAAGGGTTTCACGGATCCTTACTGGGTTTCGCCACAGCGAGTACCGCGAACAGTTTGCGTCCTCAGCCTCGGCCCACAAACCTCGCGTCAAACCACCTTCGCCGACCTAATCGGCCCCGAACCCGTTACCGAGGCGCCCCCAACCCAAGTTGACCTCGTCACCCTCGGGACAATCGAGCCCTTGAGTGGTCCAACCTTTGAGGTTCAACCTGGTCAACTAGCACTATATAAGTCCTAGGCATTTCATTATTCAACACATTGTAGTCACGCTCCTGTATAGTATTGTGTGCTATACTCTGAGTTATATTTCATAAGAACTTTTAAATATAAGGTTAAATTTATTTGTACACAAGCCAAATGCTGTTTATTTTGCCTTATGAATTATATAAGGATCCTCGGCTTATAATATTCTCAAGCTCCTACCAAACAATGAAACTACATTTAGTAGCACTTATGCACTACTCATAGAACCCCTTCATTGGCCTACCCACCACCACCAATCAACCCATATACTGGCATTTTCAGCAAATACTGCAACTACATTCAGCTCAAAGTAGCATGGCTTTATCAGCGTATTGTTGCATCCCCATGTTCAAACCAGACGGTGCACGTTGCAACTTTCATCGACATCAAGCACAAATCTATGCACAAATATGCGTGCTCCGGCCCCATGAGCAATGCACTAGAGAACACATTCACATGTTTAGAGGTGAAGCACAAAAAGGATCAAAACCAGCAGGTGCGCAAACCTAAGGGACAAAGGTGTAAAAAAAGCAAAAGCACCCTAAGTTCTTATCACGTTTGCAGAGCTAAACATGGTAAAACGCCTAGTACTGTCACTGCGAATTTCTTTCTACCGAGGGTCTGGAGAGTTCAGCTCATGGGACTCCCAAGGAATCTCGGGATTTCAGCCAATCCGTGAACCCCATCCCTGTTGTTCATGAAGTCTTCTGCTTTGCTTTGCTTGACTTCCCTGCTTCGCTGATTTCTTCGTCTGCTCCCTCCACTACTCCCTTCACTGATAACTTCACTGATAACTTCACTGATAATTTCTTGACTAAGGGCTAGAACCAGCAGTCATGCTCGCTTCGAGGCAGCCGTTCGTCCGTACGCCATACACTCAGTCCGAGGCGTTTGCTTCTAGGTGCGTCTGACTGAGTCTCTGGTCACTACTCTACGAAACGCCCTAGAAGGACTGTGCAGTGTGCTATAGGTTTGTTATGAGTGATCTGCAGGAGATCCCTTGACCTATATCGATATCGAGTCAGTTGCTCGTTCCGAGAAGGTTCCCACATTAGAAAGGGTTAATGCAGCCATGGTGCTAAGGCGTACCTCCACGGAGGAGCTCTTTTGGACCCTTTCACAGGCTCCGCCTGCTGATTCACTCGGAAAGCCAGCATTAGAGACATTCAAAGGCATTTCAGAGACATCCCCTAGCATTCAGGATGTGCTCGTGAAAAGAGTGCTTGTATCGGGAGGCGTTCAAGACTCATCGTCGCAAACTGATAACATCGATAGCGACGGCGATGCGTCATCTAACAAATGGCGGTTCCGGAAGCCATCCACGACATTTTCTGCTTTCCTCGGTCCCCGCGAGTTACGCCAGCTCGCAGCAGCCGTCAGCTCTCTCGCCGGCCCTGATTCTTCCGGTGGAGCCACAGGCGGAGCTGTTGGCGGAAAGACATCCGCAAAATCTCACCGCAAGCATCACGACGCCTCCGCCTCTTCCGCGCATGTCTCCGCGCTCCCCGTGCTTAGCCTCGCCTTGGACTACCTGCAAGCCATTCCCGACCTGCTTCTCGCCAACGCGGGTTCCCCCGCCTGCCGCGCAATGCTCGCCTGCTCCCGCTCCGGCGCTCTCCGCGCGTTCCTCGCGGAGCTGCGCCGCTGCGCTTCCGCCGATCCGCGCGTCTTCGGCTTCCCCGTGGGGAAGGCGACGGCGGAGCTGCTTCTCTGCCTAGCGCGCTCGCACGACGCTTTCCTCGAAGCTTCCGCGTCGGCCTCGGCAACTCCCGCCAGCCCCGCGAGTCGCGGCAGTGCCAGCTCAGATTCCGCGCGTGCGAGCGGAACTACCGCGCGCGCGTCTTCCGCGGGAGCGGACGTGCAGGCGGTAGTGGGGGAGGTTGTTCTGGCACTAGGCCTGCACTGCATTCCCGTGGAATTCGCTGGAGCCAGCGGAAAAGTCGCGCCTGGAGGGGACACCTCCAGCGACAGCGGTTTCATCGACGGTAACGCTGCCTCTGCGATGGCGGAAGCCCTGCGAGCCGTGTTTGACGCGTGGGTGAAACCGCACGTGGGAGGGGGGAGTGCTGGCACAGCAGGTGCGGCAGGCGCCCTGGGCAGAAGCAGTAGCGGTGGCGTCGGGGAAGGCGGGCAGGCGGGGGACGATCCGGACGGGCGGAAGCTTTCTGCCACGAGCGAGCAGCTGACGTCGCTTCTGGCAGCGGGGGCTGGAGCAGTGGGAGAAGCGGGGGGGTTGGCGGGTGGAGAGGGGGCGGTGGAACTGGTGGGGGTGGTACCTGTGGGTCTGTGGCAGCTGCAGCTGCTGGCCGGCGCGTTTAGGATCGCTGCGGCGATGGCGGGAGGGGAGGACGGAGGGCTCAGAGCAGGGAGAGGAGGGACAGGAGCGGAGGAGAATAAGGCTCTGGAGAGTGTCGTTGACCAATACGTCGCTGCCACGACAGCCCTGCTTTCGAATTCAATCAAGCTGTTGCAGGTGAGCAGTTTAGCCAAGGGATTGCGGTGGGCTGTGGGTGGGGGTTGAGAGACACTGGTCATAGGCTTGTTGCTCTTGGGAGATTGCATCGCTCGGAGTCAGGTAACTGCCCAGAGGCTAATGCACTCTCATCCTCTGACTCTGCTGCTGCTGCCTCTGCTGCCTCTGCTGCGCCTGCTGCGCGGCCGTTGGACCCTGGTGCTGCTGTGTGCTCTATCTCCCGGTCCTCGCTGCTGTTGACAGCCGCTGATGTGGCCGCCTCCGGTGCTGCTGCTTCTGCTCGCATATGCTGCCAACACCACTCCCACCGCCACTGCTGCCGCTGCTGCTGCAGCTGCCACCCCGCCCCGCAGTGTTTCTACTCCTGCCCTTGCTTCCACTGCCAGCGCCACTGCCACTGCTTCTGCTGCCTTGAATGCCAGTGCTGCTGCTGTGGCTGCTGCTGCGGCTGCAGGCTGCACCCCTCCCAGGTCTTCCTGGGTCTTCCCTTCTGTGCCTGTCACTGCCCTGGCAACCCCCCCGCGCCCTCACCTCTCCACTGCAACTGCTGCCGCTGCATGTGCTGTAGCAGCTGCTGCAGCTGCTGGTGGCAGAAGTGGCAGTGTCAGCGGCAGTGGCAGTGGCAGTGTTGGGCTGCACCATCCATTCCCTTCGTCCGCCACCGGTCTTGGGCTCGCTGCATGCATCTCTCCTCCCCACTCTCCTCCTGCGCCTGTCTCTGTACCATCGGCCTCTGCTGCTCCCGGGACTGAGGTTGTCCTGCCGTGTAGCAATCGTTGTAGCATTCATGCCTTGTAATAGCAATCGTTATACGTGCATTAATAGCACGTATAATAGCATGAAAGGGAGGGCCAATGCCAGAAGACAGATTTTGCTGTCTGCAAAGATCACACTTTTACATCCTCCCTCCCAACTCCATACTTCGTGTTAGGCTTTCCATGTGCTCTCATATATCTACCCCCCACTCCACCCTATCCTCTACAATTTTCCTTCTCCTTCTCTCTCTCCCCTCCCCCCCAACCCCCCTCTCCCCCCTCCCCACACCCCCTCCCTCTTCCCCCGTCCCCCTCAGCTGCGTCGGCAGGAGGCAGCAGGAATGTCCCCGTCAGCTCGGGCTGAGGTGGCAGCAAGGTTGCATGCTGCTGAGTCAGCAGCTCTGTTTGCCACGTCAGCAGTGGAGGGAGGGGAGGCGTCGCTTCGGTCTGTGAAGGGATTGCGAGCCCTGTGCCTGCAAGTGGCTGATGCCTGCTCGAGATCCGCGTGGAGAAAGGTGCGGGGGAGAAGGAAAGGGAGGGGTAAGTGAGGGACAAGGAAGGGAGCATGTAGAGGGGGGGGAAGAGAGAGGGGAAGGGTGAGGGGATGAGCGAGGGGAAGGCGAAAGAAAGCGAAAAGAGAGGTGAGAGCTTGAGAAAGGAGCAAGAATAGGCACTTCATTCCCCCCTGTCCCTCACTCATTTTTCCCCATGCCTCTCACGCCCATCCACCCCAGATCCCCGCCTGTGAGGATCTCTTCTCAGCGGTGCTGTCCGCAGCGGCCCGGCTGGCAGTGCGGCAGAGCAAGGCGAGTGGCGCGGGCAGGGAGGACGCGGAGGCAGCGGCGCTGCAGGAGACGCTGCTGCCCATGCGCTCCCTCGTGCTCGCCGCGGCCATGCAGAGCCCCATCCCCCCCGCACACACCCCCAACCAGCCGCCCTCCTCCGCCTCCCATTCCCCCAACCGCTCCTCCCACCACTCTCACCACTCACGCCGCTCTCACCTCTCCTCATCTCCCTCGCGCCCGCCCATGCTGGCGAGTGTGGTGGGCGCGTGCAGCCGTCTGCTGCAGGCCACGTGGGCGTCTGGAGACCACTCCCGTGTCAAGTCCTTCCTGCTCTCCCTGGGGTCCTACATGCGCCAACCGCCTTCCTCCCAGGTGCGAACGTTATTTCCTGCCTCCCTCTGCCGTGCTTTCTTAATCACCTCATTCCCAAAAACGCTGCAGTCTTGCTCCCCCCCGCTCCCTAACCTCCCCTCTCCCGCCCATCTGTTTCGATTCCCTTCTGCAGGACGAGCAGCAGCGCGCCAGCATGGCGTGTCTGCGCTACAACCTGGCGCCCATCCTAGTGGAGATAGCAGCAGCGGCCAGGGGCGCCACAGCCGTGGCGGCCGTGGTGCCGCTGCTGCTAGAAGCCGTGAGGGCGCCCAAGGAGGAGCCGGTGATCCGCAACGAGGTGCTCAGGGCGCTGGCTGCGGCCGCCGTGGCGGCTGCAGGCATGGGGCAGGAGGGGCCGTACAGGGAGGTGGCGGTGCTGCTGCTGTGGGAGTATGGGAGAGAGGCGGGGGAGGTGCAACCTCAAGTAGAGGTGAGTTGAGAATAGGGGCTTTTAAGCCTAGAAGCGGCATCCGTGCTGGCAGCAGCGGCAGTGGTGGCAACAGCAGGCATGGGGCAGGAGGGGCCGTACAGGGAGGTGGCGGTGCTGCTGCTGTGGGAGTGTTGGGGGGGGGGGGGAGGGGAAGGAGGGGAAGGGTGGGAGAGAGGGGGGGGGGGTTGGTGGGGGGGGTGTGGAGATCAGGAAGACTGCGGGCTTTCTGAAGAGTTGAAAGAATGGTATCTTGGAAGGGAAGGGAAGGAATGGACCCTTTAGCTCTACTGCGCTCCTGCTCCTGCTCCTGCTCTACTCCCCTTGTCTTCCTCGTCCACTTTCCAGCTTCCCTTCTCTACCCGCCAGAATGGGGGCTCTGACCGCCAGAATGGGGGCTCTGACCGCCAGAATGGGGGCTCTGACCGCCAGAATGGGGCTCGACCCGTCAGAATGGGGCTCTTGCCGCCAGAATGGGGCTCTGACTGACCGCCAGAATGGGGGCTCTGACCGCCAGAATGGTGCTCTGTCCGCCAGAATGGTGCTCTGTCCGCCAGAATGTGACCCTGACCGCCAGAATGGGGCTCTGACCGTCAGAATGGGGGCTCTGACCGTCAGAATGGGGGCTCTGACCGCCAGAATGGTGCTCTGTCCGTCAGAATGCGGGCTCTGACCGCCAGAATGGGGCTCGAACCGTCAGAATGGGGGCTCTGACCGCCAGAATGGGGCTCTGACCGCCAGAATGGTGCTCTGTCCGCCAGAATGGGGCTCGAACCGTCAGAATGGGGCTCAGCCCGCCAGAATGGGGCTCTGCCCGCCAGAATGGTGCTCTGTCCGCCAGAATGGGGCACTCACCCACACCCATCCTTTCCCACCCGAGTCCGTCCCCGCCCTTCATCAATCCTGTGACTGTCTGAGATGACTCAAGAGTCGCCATTCACCCTTCTCCGCACCCCCACCCCTCATCTTTCTTCCCTACCGCCTGGTGCTCTCGTTTGTGGTCTCACCCAGCTGGCCACTGGTCTCTCCCGTGCATCCCTGAGCGACGATTTGCTCCCCTTTCCTACTTCCTGCCGTTGCTGCCCTTTTGACGCCAGGTGCTCTCGTCCGTGCTCTCCCAGCTCGCTTCTGGTCTGTCCCGCCCTTCCCTCGGGGACGACTTCCTCCCCTTTCCCCTCCTACCTGCCCTCCCTGCCCTTATGACGCCAGGTGCTCTCGTCTGTGCTATCCCAGCTAGCCTCTGGTCTGTCCCGCCCTTCCCTCCGGGACGACTTCCTGCGGCGCCTACTCGCCACGTGTGCTGAGGTGGCGCTGGCTACAGAGGCTGAAGGGGGGAGGTGAGAAAGGGGGGGGAGAGGGAGATGGGAAGGGCGGAAATGTGAGGGGGGAGAGGTGCTTCCTCGCCACATGTGCCGAGGTGTCGCTGGCTACAGAGGCTGACGGGGGGAGGTGAGAGACGAGGCGGGGAGAAGGGGAAGATGAGAGGATCAATGTGGCCCTGGCTATTGAGGCTGAAGGGGGGAGGTGAGGGGGTGGTATGAAACGAGGGGAGATGGATTCTTTCTATTCCATAGGCTCAGCTCCATTCTGCCTCTTACTACTGCAACCCTTCCCTCCTCCATCCCCGCCCCCTCCCTCCATCCACCCCACCCCACCCAGCCGTGGTGCTGAGTTGCTGGGTCCCTTACTCCCTGCAGTGGCGGCCGCATGCCGCCATCTCGACCCCCTGCATCGCCCCGTGGACCCCTCCCTGCAGCGCCTCTTCCGCAACCTCTGGTTCTACTGCGCCCTCTTCCGCCTCGCCCCGCCCCTCCACTCCTCCCCCGCCTCCGCTGCTGCTGCTGCCGCCGCCGCCGCTGCTGCTGCGGCTACCGCTGCTGACGGCGGCGCCTTTGGCTCCGCTGCTGGTGGCGCCGGTGCTGCTGCTGCTTCAGCTGATGCTGGTGGTGGTGGTGTGCGGGGCGTGTCTGGGTCTCCCTCGCAAACCCCTCCTGGAGTGCTGGCAACGTGCACGGGGGGTGGGGGGATGGCCAAGGCGGCGAGTATGGATGATGTGACCAAGGGCCCGTATGCCTGGCCCGAGCAGTGGGCTGCCGCCATGCGGCAGATCGCAGCTCACACACCACCGCTGGTATGTACACGGCCATGCATGCATGTACACGGCCATGCATGCATGTACACGGCCATGCATGCATGTACACGGCCATGCATGCATGTACACGGCCATGCATGCATGTACACGGCCATGCATGCATGTACACGGCCATGCATGGATGTACACGGCCATGCATGGATGTACACGGCCATGCATGGATGTACACGGCCATGCACGCAGTTAGGCACATGGCCATGCGTAAATGTACTGGTTTGCACTAGTGACGCTCGGCAGCCATGCTTGCATGCCCAAATCATCATCTCCTGCCACTACAGTCGTACCCACAGCAACGTGTTTGGTCACAGCAGCCACGCCACCTGTCTCGATCACAGGAAGCAACAATGCCACACCAGCAGCATGGTCACAACCGCACCGGACCATACCGTTTCCTCACAGCTCCCAGGCCCGTGTGTGCTGCTGGAGGGTGCCCGGGCGGCCCTCCCCCCATCTCCACCCGTGCGTGCAGGCAGTGGGGGCGTTCTCCCGCCTGGACGACGAGCTCGAGCTCGCAGCGCTGCACCGCCCCGGCAGCCAGAGGGGCAGCGGCAACGAGCAGGCTGCCGCCCGGCAGAGGCAGGCGCTGGGCGCTGCTGTGGGCTCCAGGCTTGATGCTGCTGCTATCAGCAGCATCACTGGTGAGTCTGTGGGGGAATGGGTTGAGTGGGAGCTGCCAGAGGGGCAGTGGCAAAGAGCAGGCGGCTGCTAGCAGAGTAGGTGACAGGCTCTGGGGGCTGCTGTGGGGAGTAGATGGGCAAATGATGCTGGGGAGTCGATGCTGGTGCTATCAGCAGCATGAGGGGCGAACTGGGGATATGGAATCAGGGGAAGCGAGGAGGGCAGGCAGGGTCAGACTTATGGAATCGAGGCTGGGAATGGATAGGAAGGACTGTCAGCAAATGGGTGAGTGACTTGTGGGGTGAGTGACTTGTGGGGTGAGTGACTTGTGGGGTGAGTGACTTGTGGGATGAGTGACTTGTGGGGTGAGTGACTTGTGGGGTGAGTGACTTGTGGGGTGAGTGACTTGTGGGGCGAGTGACTTGTGGGGTGAGTGACTTGTGGGGTGAGTGACTTGTGGGTTGAGTGACTTGTGGGGTGAGTGACTTGTGGGGTGAGTGACAAATGAGCCCAAGGAGCAACCCTCTTGGTTACCGCCCTCTCACCGTCCCTTGCATCGGGCCTTGCAGGTGTGAAGGCGACCAACCTGCTGTCCATCGTGCTGCTCGAGTCCATCCGCGTGTCTGCAGCCACTGGGCTCGTCCCTGTACCCGACACCACCCCCCACTCGCCCGTTCTCGCATCCCTCCTCCCGCACACGCACACCACATGCGGAGACGGAAGTAATGAGGCAGCAGGGGCAGCAGCCGCGGCGCTGGCGGCTGCGCGGCAGCGGTGGGAGGAGGGGAGTGAGAACCGCAGTGGGGTGACGTGTCTGCTCGAGTACATCCAGATGCCCAACCCCCGCGCTGCCGTGCGCCAGTGTCTCTCTGCTGTCGTGCTCCGGGCCTTCGATGCCGCGCTCCTTGCCCTCGTAAGCCCGCGAACCCTCGTTTCCAGTTTGCTTAACAGGTCCTCTATCTAGGGGCCTCAAACCCCACCTCCTGTCCCATCCATTCCCACCCCACCCCACCCCTTCCCGTCCCACCAGGAGCACGAGCCCAGCGACACAGTGCGGCAATCAGCACTCTCAGCCCATGCATGCGCCCTCCTCGACGCCTTATGGGACGGGCAGGAGTTTGTGCGCGATACGGCGCGCACCATGCTCAGCCTCCTCCGCAAGTCCTTCCCGCAGCTGCTCTGGCACCCGCGCTGCATCCGCGCCCTCCTCCGCTTCCACCCGCCGCAGCACATGCTGGCGTCAGTAGGGGAGGCGGCCGCGGAGGCAGCGGCAGGGGGAGGGGGGGAGCTGGAGGGGAGGGGGAGGAGGGGATAGCCGAGGTGGCGTGGGACCCCGAGGCGGCTGCTGCGGCAGAGAGTTTGGCGATGGACGTGGCTAAGGACTGGCTTGCCACGGCGTTTCTCCTCGCGCCACTTGTCACGCAGTCACTGGTGGAGGTGGGTTACTGGGGCGCTCTCTCCTGTTGTGGTCCTTGGGCGCTACTTAGTCACTTGGGAAGTTGCGGATCGCACATATAGCTGATCTTCTTTTCTGACCTTCTTTTCTTTTCCCTGGAGTCCTGACGTCTGTTTGATCATCTCCTCATGCCTCCTCTGGTCCTCTCACCCTCTGTGTTGCCCCACCCAGGAGGTGCTGTGCAGTGCGGACTCGGACCCAGACTCTGTAGCAGGCCTGCTCAGCGTGCTGGCAGAGATCAAGTACCGCCCCAGAGGTAAGGAGAAATGATGTTATTTTTTAGGCGCCTCAAAAATAGAATCTAAAGCCTATTGCATGGGTTACTCAGCGTGCTAGCAGAGATGAATTGCCATCCCAGAGGTAAGGAGAGCTTTGTGAATCTCTCAAAAGACAGCATGCTAGCAGAGATGAAGTACTGCCCCAGAGGTAAGGAGAGCTTTGTGAATCTCTCAAAAGACAGCGTGCTAGCAGAGATGAAGTACTGCCCCAGAGGTAAGGAGAGCTTTGTGAATCCCTCAAAAGACAGCATGCTAGCAGAGATGAAGCACTGCCCCAGAGGTAAGGAGACCTTTGTGAATCTCTCAAAAGACAGCATGCTAGCAGAGATGAAGTACTGCCCCAGAGGTAAGGGCAGCTGCTGACAATGCCTTGTGTTCCAATGCCTTGTGCTGTGGGCGTGGTCTGTGTCTCCGTCTCGTTCCTCCCTCTCTCACCTTTTCTCTCAATCCTCATCCCTGTCCCTGTATCCGTTTGCCCTCACACCCCTCCCCATCCTCCATTCCTCACCCTCTCCTCTTCCACTCCCCTTCCCACCCCTCCCCAGGCTCAGCAGCAGCCGACACCCCTCGGTCATCCTTCACCCTGGCAGCGAAGGCCACAGTGGCGGCCAGCCTCAAGGCGCGCAGCATGGGGCAGGTCTCGGGGCTGCTCTCAGCGCTCTCCTCCCTCCCGTCCTCCCTAGCTGGCGTGGGGGGGGGCATCCCAGGCATATCTGGCGTAGCAGGCCCGGAGTCGCACCCTCCTCACCCGCACAAGCAGGCTGCCGGCATCGCTGTTGGGTCACAAGCCACTCCGCCCGCAGGGGCGAAGCCGGACCCGCATCTGACGCTGCTGCAGGTGGCTGTGACTCAAATGGAGGAGCTTGTAAAGGGGGAGGGCGGGGGAGGGGAGTCGGGGCACGGGGCGGTATCATGGGGGCACATGGCGGGCGAAGAAGGGCGGAGGAAGGAGAAGGAGAGGGCAGCAGCAGTGGTAGGGGACGCAGAGAGAGTGAGGGACAGGTGCCTGTGGGCCGTGGCTGCACTCGTGCTGGTGGAAAGGCAGCAGCAGAAGGGGCACCACAGCAGGAAGCGCCACTCCCCCCTTCAGTCCTCCCTCGAGCTCCGTCTGATCCACCTGCTCGCCCGCACCCCCCTCCACTTCTTCACCCCCCCGGCCCTGCGCGCCTGCTGCCTCGCCTGGTCGTGGCTGCTCGCCGCCCTCCCCCGCCTCTCCTCCCCGCTGCTCGCCCAGATAGCAGCAGCCTGGGGGGAGACGGTTGCGGGGAGGAGGGGGGTGTTCAGAGCGGTTGAGGGGGATGAGGAGGGGCCGAGGGGGTGGCTGCGGCCGCTGGTGGTGGGGGGGGTGCCGGAGGGCTTTTCGGACCACAAGGGGGAGGAGGCCCAGGCGCTGGAGGAGCTGGGGGCGCACGCTGCTTGGATCCGGTTCATCTCTGACTGCTCTGAGGTGCGTGGATGCCTCTCACGGGTCTCAAGGACAGACGTTCACCCCTCTCTGTCCTTGCGTGGCCCGCTGCTCTCCTTGCGTGGCCCGCTGCTCTCCTTGCGTGGCCCGCTGCTCTCCTTGCATGGCCCGCTGCTCTCCTTGCGTGGCCCGCTGCTCTCCTTGCGTGGCCTGCTGCTCTCCTTGCGTGGCCCGCTGCTCTCCTTGCGTGGCCCGCTGCTCTCCTTGTGTGGCCCGCTGCTCTCCTTGCGTGGCCCGCTGCTCTCCTTGCGTGGCCCGCTGCTCTCCTTGCGTGGCCCGCTGCTCTCCTTGCGTGGCCTGCTGCTCTCCTTGCGTGGCCTGCTGCTCTCCTTGCGTGGCCCGCTGCTCTCCTTGTGTGGCCCGCTGCTCTCCTTGCGTGGCCTGCTGCTCTCGCCTGAGTTGACTGGGAACTCAGATTTAACCCCCGAATCCCTCCATCCCCATCTGTCGCATTCCTGCTACGTGTGTCTCAGATCTACGGCCGCGGCAGCGAGAGCCAGGCAGCAGCCATCGAGCGGCTGCTTCTCGCCTCTCTCTCCGACGTGGCCCGCCTCTCCCGCCACCCTGCCGCCCGTGCGCCCCTGTTTGACCTCTTCCGCCTCGCGCTCGCCTTCGCCCGCACCCGCCTCCTTGTGGCCACCAGCCCTGCCCGCACCGCTGCAGCAGGGGCAGGGGCAGCGGGGGCAGCAGCAGCATCCTTGTCAGCAGCGGCTGCAGTGGCAGATGTGAGCCGATCAGATGCTGCCACGTCACCCCATGTGTTCTCGGCGCGGCTGCTGAGAGACCGGGCGCACAGGTGAGCATCAGGCCCATTGTATGATTAACCTGAGTGCACTATGTTTGGATGTGGGACTCAATCCTAAGTTGCCCCGTTGTCCCACTGCAGAGCCGTGCTCAAGTGGTTCAGTGTGGACGCGGGGTACTTTGACGGGTGGCCCAGCGCGCAGAGGAGGCAGGCGGCGCTGGAGGAGATGGCAGTGATGGACGGCTTTGGCAAGGCGCTGGCAGACGATGAGAGCATGGAGGACGCCTTCTGGCCTCCCGCTGCTCGTGGGGCTGCCTCTACTGTCCTTTCCCCCTCGGTGAGATCTTTCTTCATGCTATTAAACGCACACACCGTTGGCACTTTCAAGGAGGCAGGCCATGCTAGAGGAGATGGCCGTGATGGACGCCTTTGGCCAGGCAATGAGAGCATGGAGGACGCCTTCTGGTTGACCGCTGGTGGTGCTGGGAGGGGGGCTTGCTCGCCTTCCCTGCCTCCCTCAGTAAGGCGCTGCACCACCCAAGTGCCTGGTGCCAGCTCACCCTGATTCACTGCACTCCTGCACACCCTTCTGCACCGTGCATCACACGCATGGCTGCTTTCCATTCACACCAACGAGTCCTCCCCCATGTGCGCTGGGCGTGTGTGTTTCAATCAGTAACCGTGGACACTTCGTCTCTTCTCTCTCCCCCCCCCCCCCTCCCCTCTCTTCAGTTCCCCTGCATGCTCTCTCTTATTCGTCCTTCCTTTCCACTTCCCCTTCTCTCATCTCCCCATCCCTCCGCCAGTCCCACCAGCAGCGCCATCCCGTGTGGGGCGCGTTCTTCTTGCCGCATCGCTCGCAGGAGAGGCAACAGCGCCGCCGCCTGCTCTCCCTGCTCTCCTCACACGAGGCAGAGTGCTCCGCCACCTGGGCCTTCCCTCTCGGGTTAGTTCTTCCACAGGCTGACTCTGGGTGACACATCAATGCCCACTGTTGGCACCGTTTCGCCGCCTCCTGTGCCATCTCCCTATTGCCTCACTCGCCGCTCCCCACTGGTGTATCTTTCCACTCACCGAACCAAGGCAGCATGGGTTGCAACCAGGGCACCATGGGTACCATTGGTCTCACCCCTCCTGGTCTCATCCCCCTACAGCACATTCGGAGGCCTCCTGGTCTCTTCCCCATGCCTCATTCCCCGCACCAGCATCTCGCCTGACGCTTCGCGCACGGCAGCAGCAGCGGCCGCCAGCAAGGCTTGACTGCATCCAATGCATTGCTCCCTTGCGTCTGATACGTTGCTCCCTCCCCCCCACTCCACTCCCTTGGCCCCTTTGTATGTGCAACAGAATCTCTCCAGACGCCTCACGCACGGCAGCAGCAGCGGCCGCCACGGACATCCAGCGCAGCAAGGCGCGGGTCACAGCGTCGCTCTCGGCCAATGACGTGCCGCCACTTGTCCGCGCCGCATGGGCTGTGGACCCGCGGGTGGCAGTGTGCCTGGCACAGCGCTTCCCCTCAGTGAAGGGCATTCAGGATGATGTGGGGGGACTCATCAGGGTGAGACGTGGCTTAGGGGGCAGTTGGGATTATGGTGATTAGAGCTTGGCAAGGCAGTGTATCGGGTGCAGCGCTTGGGCTTTCTCTCTGTGAAGGGTTTTCAGGACGATGCTTGGAATCTCATCACGGTGGGTCCTTGTTTAATCTATAAAGATGGAGTACTCAGCACAGTGAGCCTTGGTCAACTTTGAAGAGAGGCCTCATTCTTATTGCAGAGTCCGGGGGCAGCATAGGGAGAACCCCTGCAGTTTATCACCCTGTCTAATTCTTTTCTCCGTACCTATCTCTCCTCCCTCTCCTCATCTGCCCCCCTCCCCCTTACCCCCTCCCCCCCTCCCCATCTGCCACCCATTTCCCAGAACATGCCCCTGTTAGTCCGCTCTTTACCGGAATCGCTCCGCTGGCTCGTCACCCCAGCAGCAGTGCAGCAGGACTCCCCGCTGCTGCGCCTGCCGCTGCCGTACTGGGCGCCGTGCTCCGTGGCAGCAGCGCTCAACCTGCTGCTGCCGGCGTTCAAGGGGCACCCGCGAGTCATGGCATACGCGTTCAGAGTGCTGGAGGCGTACCCCCCGCCCACCGTCACCTTCTTCATGCCGCAGCTCGTGCAGGCGCTCAGATACGACCACGATGTCAGTCTATTCTGAGAGATGAGCGTAGCGTGAGACTTGGGCACTGAATGGATGCGCTGCACCAGACACACTGCACCAGACTTGGGCTGTGTTTGTCTCTACCACCTTAATGTCACAAATGCTTCCTTTCTCCATCCCTTCTCCCTTCCATTTTCCCAACCCACTACCCCTCTCCCTACCCCCTTTCTTCCCCATGTCTGCTCGCCCCTAACCCCCTCCAGGGCCTGGTGGAGTCGTACCTGCTGCGAGCTGCCCTGCGCAACATCATCTTCGCACACATCCTCATCTGGCAGCTGCAGGTACGTGCTCTGGGCCCTTGAGGTCTGACCTTCTCATTTGGCCCACTTCGGGGTCTGACTATTGAGTTGAATCTATGCGCAACATCATCTTCGCGCACATCCTCATCTGGCAGCTGCAGGTGGGTGCGCTGACCCATCGGCCCATGGGTAGTTACCCACCCCCATAGCACCCGTGACTGTTGTGCCAACTCACGAGCAACATTATCCACTCACTCACGAGTCACATTATCCACGCCCAAACCCCCATCTGCTGTCAAATCAATACCCACTCCTTTCCTCTCTCTTGTTGCGCTGCTCTTGCTCTGGCCTGCTCCATCCCCCTTCCTGCCACCTTTCCATCACGTAACCCCTGCTTTCTTATCCCATCCAATCCCCCGTCTCTTACCTTTCCTCCCCGTCCCGTCTATTAGGGCGAGGAGGCAGATCCCGAGGGGCAGCAGCCAGGAACACTAGAATCGTCGAATGGGTCAGCAGAGGGAGGTGCATCTGGGGAGGGCGCATCCAGCACTGCAGCAGCAGCCGCCACCAACATCCTGTGGACAATAGTCCCGCGCGTGCGGCAGCGCATCATCGACAGCTTCAACGACGAGCAGAGAGCGGCGTTTGACCGCGAGTTCTCCTTCTTCGACGCCGTCACGTCCATCTCGGGCACTCTGAGGCCCGTGCCGAAAGAGAAGCGAAGAGCCGCCATCCAACCGTACGTCTTTTTCAGTGTATTAAGGGGAGAGAGGAATGGTGGATGGAGGGTTTGACTGCCAGTTCTCCTTCTTTGACGCCGTCACTTCCTTCTTGCTTGCTGAATTCCGTTCCTCCCTCGTCCTCTTTCCCCCACCGTCCTTTCCTCTCCCTTCCTTTCCATGCCTCTCCTTTCACGCTTTGCCAACCTCTTGCAGTCGCCCCTTTCCTCGAAGAGATCAGGCTGCCCTTTGAGTCGCCAAAAGAAATAACATTTTCCCTCCACCTGCCAATTTCATCCCTTTCGCCCGGCACAGGGAGCTGGAGAAGATCAAGCTGCCCGGAGACGACGTGTATCTGCCCACAGACCCCAACATGCTAGTGCGCAGCATTGTGCTGGATAGTGGCATTCCCCTGCAGTCCGCCAAGAAGGTACACGACTTGATGTGGTGAGCTTATAAGCAGTGGCATGTCTTTGCGGCTTTTAATGGCTTTTAGTCCGTTCCCCTCACCTCTATTCTTCCTCCCGCATGCCCACCCAAACAACACCATATTGGTATCCTTCACCGTGGCGAGCACTGGGTCCTGGAATAACCAAATACCCCCTCACACCTGCACTGTGAGACAAACTGGATGCTCCTCCTTCAACCCCCCCTCTCCCCCAACCCCCAACCCTTGTTGTCATTCCGCCCAAACCCCCAGGTGCCCATAATGATATCGCTCATGGTGGTGACTATTTTTTAGGCGCCTCAAAAATAGACTCCTCATTCCGCCCAACCCCCAGGTGCCCATAATGATATCGTTCATGGTGGTGAGGAAGGACGAGGATGGGGTGGTGGATGAGCACAACCCGCTCAGGCAGGCCTGCATATTCAAGGTGACTGACAGGCTACAGTAGAGAACTCGCTTGCACTGCACACATGGTGGAATCCTGGTTTTCTTTTATCCTTGCACGTCTCATCCTTGCTTTGATTCTGCTTTTCCCTCCCTGCTTTACTGCCGACGTACTCGACCTTCTTGGTTGAAGTCTACCAGTTGCTTTTGTATGAAATTCACCTGAGTTGTTCTTGTGTGAAATTCACCTGAGTTGTTCTTGCCGTGCCCCTCCTCCCCTTCCATGCTTGCATTGCTCTTACAGGTCGGAGATGACTGCAGGCAGGATGTGCTGGCTCTGCAGGTCGGTTTCTCTCTACCACTCTCCACCACTCTCTACTGCTGGTGCCTCAGGCCCATGGCTAGAATTTTATGTTCCTATGGTACGGGCTATCTGTAATGGGTTCTGGTAGCTTTCAGTTGAGTCACCAAGATGTGTACACCCCTCTCTCCACTCCACTCCCTCCTCCCCCATGCCTCAGGTGATCGCGCTGCTGCGTGACATCAATAAAGCCGTGGGGCTGGACCTGTACCTGTTCCCGTACGGAGTCCTCCCCACGGGGTACGAGCGCGGGATCATCCAAGTCGTGCCCAACACGCGCAGCCGCAACCAGATGGGCGACGTCACGGACGGCGGGCTCTTCGACATCTTCCAGAACGAGTTTGGCGCCGTGGGGTCCGCGGCGTTTGAGCGCGCGCGCCACAACTTCATCGTCAGCAGCGCGGCTTACGCCGTGGCGAGCCTGCTGCTGCAGCCAAAGGACCGACACAATGGGAACCTCCTTGTTGACAAGTAAGCACCTTCTCAGAAGTGATTTTCATGATCAGCAAAGCGGCGTATGCTGTAGCGAGCCTGCTGCCGCTAACATAGGACAGACACAATGGGAACTGTCTCGTTGATAAGTAAGACTACATTGGGCAAAGGTCAAAATGCCCTACCCAAGGGACTTAAAAGCCTATGGAGCCCCGCTTCCCTATTTTCCACCTCATCATGTCCCCACTCCCACTTCCCTTTCCCGCTCCCCCTCACCATCTCCCCCCCAGTGACGGCCGCCTGGTGCACATCGACTTTGGGTTCATCCTCGAGACGTCGCCAGCTGGCAACCTGCGATTCGAGAGCGCGGACTTCAAGCTGAGCCACGAGATGACTCAGATCCTCGACCCCTCGGGCGACCTCAAGAGCGAGCCCTGGCACCGCTTTGTCGGGTGAGAACGATGTGCTTGCGTTTACACCTTTGGGTGACATGCCATGACATGACATGTGCAACCATGTATTATGCTTGCATGAGGTATGTACCCTTTTGTTCGCAGTGAGTGTGGTAACATTGAGGAAGACAATATTGAGCTATCCTTCCATGTCCCGTTGCAGCTTGTGTGTGAAGGGCTACCTGGCTGCTCGGCGCCATCAGGATGCGATCATTAACACGGTGCAGCTCATGCTGGACAGCGGCCTCCCGTGCTTCTCACGGGGCGATGCTGTTGGCAACTTGAGGAAGCGGTTTCACCCGGAGATGGGGGAGCGGGAGGCAGCGAGCTTCATGATTGGGACGTGTGTTGATGCGTACAACAAGTGGACGACCGCTGGATATGATTTGATCCAGTACATGCAGCAAGGCATTCAAAAGTAGCCTTGGAAGGCCGAGGTAATGTGATATTGATTTTTGCATTGTCCAGCTTATGTGTTGCCCCTATATATTGAATTGGTATGCCAGCGTGCTGATCTTTTGTTTGTTCTGTATTCAGTGATCAATATGGAACTTAGAGTACACAACGACAATGTTAGATTTACACGAAAGCATAGCCGTATTTTAAGATGCAATGGGCACGCTTCTAATGAGACATCTGCGTCTGCAGCTCTTCATCCACCCATTCTTCGGCCAGACTTCCAGTGCTCCTCCATTCCATCCCTCCGGCATCACTAAATGCTGCTAGGAAATCTAGTCTTATGAAAGCATTTCGAGCAGTCTCCCACGCCATGGCTTCTCGCAGCGTCTCCTCGTCCCTCCGAGGGATGCGGGTTTTGACTCCTGCGACATCCAGCGAGTCGCTTTATGCAGTCGCAGGCCTGTCGCCAGCCATCCGTGCTCATGTGAATGTCAGTGTCTCAAATTGTCGCGCGTTCGCGCGTTCGGAGCATTCGCAGAGAGCTCTGGCAGGCATTCGCTCGTCGCTCCGTCGCACGGGTGGGGCGAGCGACGAGACTTTGCGTGCTGGTCAAGAAAACAGACGCTTTGCTGTAAACAGCATAAACAGCAAGAGATCTCTCAACGTCAAAGCTCAGGCGGGGGGAGGGAATAATGGCTCTGGGGGAAGTGGAAGCGGAGGAGGGGGAGGCGGAGGCGGAGGGGGAGGGGGGAGCGGCGGAGGGGGTGGGGACGCGAGTAACAGCGGAGTTCCGCCGTCAGGGCTTCAGATGCTGGGCTTAGCGTAAGCGGCGATTTCAACACGAGATCGGTTCGCGACCGTCGTGAGCGCGACCGTGACGAGACGTGGTGACGTTAGAGAGAAGAGCATAACAGTGTTTCGTGTCACATTCTCCCCCTCCTCCCCCTCCTTCCCATCCGCCCCCCCACACTCTTTCCCGTCTCCCCCCCCCTCCGTCTGCCGTCAGCTACATGGCATCGCTAGAGTCACGTCCGTTTGTGACGAAGGGAATTACAGCTGGTCTGCTGAACACACTTGCAGACCTTTTCTGCCAGGTATTTATGGGGAAGACGCTTCTGACTATAAAATGTTCGTGATTCACATGCCTAGTTGAGTTACTGATCTTAATCAGATACCTAGACAGCGTAGAGGATTCCTCTAATAGCACATGCCTAATGGACACACGTGCGTTTAATTAGATACCTAGACAGCGTCACAGCGTGGAGGATTCCCCTAATAGCACGTTCACCCCGTTCGTGCAAGTCTCCCCCGTTCCCCCTGTTTCCAGGTGGTGGTGGAGAAGGACTCATCCATCGATGTCCGGCGGCTGGGAGGCTTTGCTGCCATTGGAGCGTTCATTGTGGGCCCGGCTCTGCACATCTGGTGGGAGCCGCTTGTATGATGTTGTCTGCTCTGCATGTGTCATGCTTTGCCGAAGCCTGGCCTCCATTCGTATGTGTAGGAAAATTAAGTCTGATTCAAGATTTTTCTCTGTGCGTTGTAACAGGTACGGCCTTCTTGGGAACTTCATTCGGATTGAGGGTTTCAAAGGAGTTCTTTCTCGATTGCTCATTGACCAGGTAAGGGACTTGCTCGTCTAGCCTGTGGCTTACTTTATCCGGAAGAAATGCACGCATGGTTCTAGTGCTGGTTAAGGCTAGATCTTTCTTTGCAATGCCGATGTTCCCTGGCTTTTTCTGTCATGGCATGCTTATGCCGTGGTTTCCCTCCGTCCGTGTGCATCAGGTGATATTTTCCCCTCTATCAATCGCCACATTTGTGGGGCTAGTGCTGCTGCTGGAGGGCAAGCCAGAGCGCATTGTACCCAAGCTGGAGAAGGTGAGCGAAGTCACAGAGGGACAAGTGGGGAGGCGAATTTGCTGCTCTGGTGTGCTGCGTGGGATGTTTCCAGCACGTGACGTGCAAGGGAAGATAAAGAAGGACGCATGATTGCTGCTTTGAATGGCAATATGATATCACCATCCTCTTGCTCCATGCAGGATTTTGTGCCCACGTGCATTAACATGTGGAAACTCTGGGTGCCGTTCCAGCTGTTCAACTTCGCCCTTGTGCCACCACAATTACAGGTATGCATTGTCTCTCCCACGTTCAGAATTTGTTGACTATTTGCAAACTTTTGTGCCTTGCTCCTAACACCATGCCTTTCTTGGTGGACAGGTTGGTGCCGTGAATCTAGTGGGCCTGGTTTGGACGGTTTACATGTCCTTCGCGAGCCACAATGACGTTAGCGACAGCAAACCTCATGCGCAGAAGGGTCCTACACCTGCATAGAATTTAGCAGAATGAACAGTAGTGTATTTACCTTTGTACTGTATATGAGCTTGTTTTGGCAATGTAGGAGGCGTACACCTGGTGCGAGCAATCCAAACTTGCTCGTGTGTGACCCTTCTGATTGGTTGCTGCTTCTCCAGTCAAGGGGAAGGAGTGGAAAGAGTGACCTGTGTTTGCCTGACGCCACTGCCTGCAGACGAAGCCAACAACTGTACAGTTCTGCCCATTTTCCTGTTTACCCCCCCCCCCCCCGCTCCCGCCAACCCCCTGACCCCACCTACTGATCATCCGCCCGCCCTCACCTTTTTCACGCGGAGCGCCTGCGATGTCTTCCGCCCTCCACCTTGTAAGTCAGGGCTTGGCGGGAGCCCACATCCCGCCTCCCCGATTATCCCCCGCCTCCCCCGACTTTCCCCATCCTGCACAACACCCTTTCCCCGGCCCTCCCCCAGTTTCGGCCACTCCTTTCGAGCTAATCTCAAGAATGGCGGCCATTGCTCCAACTTTCATTTTGTGACGAGGTTCTTCCACCCCATTCCCTGGATCTTACCACCACCCGTTCTAACCCAGGTTGATATTATAGCACAGCATTGTGCTAACGTACCTGAACGTTGCCGTTTGCGTGATTTCCCGAGGAACGATCCCAGCGAAGCCGTTTCTGTCAGCCATTTTCGAGCCAGCTAGTGTCCCTGTAAATCGCTGGTTGCACCGCTACCGAACTTGTCAGACACTCAGCATAAATTAGTAATAAATAATTAGCAGCTTCGTGCGGCAATGGCGGGGGGTGGTCTGCGTGTGGACGTATCAAGAGACGAGGGCGACGAGCATGCGGAGGGAGCGGCGCAGCCCAAGGGACGATTCTCCGGCGGCTCGCCGTCGTCCGAGTCGTCGCTCGTGCAGCAGCGATTCCCGTCGTCCAAGATGAAAGTGGACGAGCTCTTTATTCAATGGCTCTCGCTGCCGGAATCGCAGAAGCTGGTGCGTTGTGACATTGTAAAGATATGACTCTTTTGTCGACTCAAAAGTCCTCCAAGTTGAAGGTCTACGAGCACTTTATTCAATGGCTCTCGCTGCCCGAATCGCAGAAGCTGGTGGGTCGGCGTGGCTCCGCTAGGGTTGGCTTCGCTAAGGTTTGCTTCGCTAGGGTTGGCTTCGCTAGGGTTGGCTTCGCTAGGGTTGGCTGCGCTAGGGTTGGCTCCACTGCGGTTAGCTTCGTAGGGTTAGCTCCGCTAGGGTTATCTCCGCTAGGGTTATCTCCGCTAGGGTTAGCTCCGCTACGGTTAGCTCCGCTAGGGTTAACTCCGCTAGGGTTAGCTCCGTTGGGAATGACTGCAAGTTTCTTCTGATTCTAGGTTAGGATATGCTGTCACATGCGAGGCAAATGTCTTATTTCGATGCGGACAACGATCAGACATAGTGGAAGGGAGATCCGAGTATATGAGGCGAATCGAGTATATGAGACGAATCGAGTATATGAGGCGAATCGAGTATATGAGACGAATCGAGTATATGAGGCGAATCGAGTATATGAGACGAATCGAGTATATGAGGCGAATCGAGTATATGAGGCGAATTGCCAGCTAGCTCATTCTCGCCCGGCGTCCCTGCTTTCAAAAGCCACTGCTGACTAATCCCCCTCTCAACCCCCGATGTCACATCTGCCACGTGGCATGCCTCAGGTGATGTCATTATTAGAAGACGCCAAGGCGGGCCGGCCGCTAATAGCCCCCGGAGGCCCGAACTCGCACAGCGCAAGCGGAAGCCTCTCCCCGCTGTCCCCCACCAGCGCCTCCTCCCTCTTCGGCGCAACCCCCCCGCTCTCCCCGCGGAGCGACAAGCCGATGTCGCCCAAGTCGCCGCTGCGTCGCCAGGCGTCGGGGCTGAGCCACGCGGGGTCGCCCGTGAAGAGCCACGCGAACCGCAGCTTCGAGGCGATCCCGCAGTTCTACTTCCCCAACGGCCCGCCCGCCACGGAGGACGTGGCGAAGCAGTGCATGGTGAAGATCCACCAGTTCTTCCACGAACACGCCGAGGGGCTCAACGGGGAAGGTGGGAGGAAAAAAAAAGGTTTGAGGAGATGCGGGAGGGTGTGCGGGAGGGAGTGCGGGAGGGAATGGGGGAGGGAATGCGAGAGGGTGTGCTGTGCGACGGGTTACCCTTGTGAGAGGAAGCGTGGCGAAGAAGTGTATGGGGAATAGATCCACCGGTTCTTCCACGAACATGGGGCTGAACGCAGAAGGCAGGCGGGTTGGGAAGAGAGAATGTGTGAAGGAATGCGGGAGGGTGTGCGGGGGGTCGAGGGTTTACCCTTGTGAGATGAGGGTGGCGAAACAGAGCAAGCTGAAGATCCACCAGCCATCTCTCCCAACCTTCCCCCTCCCCCCATCCCCCACCCCCTCCCCGCACATCCTTCGCAGCGTTCGTGGCGGTGAGCAGGAAGTGTGCAGCCTGCCTTCCTCCTCCCTGGAAGGAACACACACCCCCCGCTTCCCTCCCTCCCCCCTCGCAGCGTTCGTGGCGGTGACCCAGGAGGTATGCAACCTGCCATTGCACCTGAAGAACCCCCTCCTTCCTCCCTCCTCCCTCCCTCCTCCCTCCCTCCTCCCTCCCTCCTCCCTCCCTCCTCCCTCCTTCCTCCTCCCTCCTCCCTCCGTCCTCCCTCCTCCCTCCCCCCTCCCTCCCCCTCGCAGCGTTCATGGCGGTGACCCAGGAGGTGTGCAACCTGCCGTCGTACTTCAACTCGGTCATCTTCCAGCGCATCGATACTGAAAATACTGGCCTCATCACCAAGTGAGTGCTGCGCTGGCCTCATCACCAAGTGAGTGCTGCGCTGGCCTCACCACCAAGTGAGTGCTGCACTGGCCTCATCACCAAGTGAGTGCTGCGCTGGCCTCATCACCAAGTGAGTGCTGCGCTGGCCTCATCACCAAGTGAGTGCTGCGCTGGCCTCATCACCAAGTGAGTGCTGCGCTGGCCTCATCACCAAGTGAGTGCTGCGCTGGCCTCATCACCAAGTGAGTGCTGCGCTGGCCTCATCACCAAGTGAGTGCTGCGCTGGCCTCATCACCAAGTGAGTGCTGCGCTGGCCTCATCACCAAGTGAGTGCTGCGCTGGCCTCATCACCAAGTGAGTGCTGCGCTGGCCTCATCACCAAGTGAGTGCTGCGCTGGCCTCATCACCAAGTGAGTGCTGCGCTGGCCTCATCACCAAGTGAGTGCTGTGCTGGCCTCATCACCAAGTGAGTGCTGCACTGGCCTCATCACCAAGTGAGTGCTGCGCTGGCCTCATCACCAAGTGAGTGCTGCGCTGGCATCATCACCAAGTGAGTGCTGCGCTGGCCTCCACCAAACCCCAATCCATCGAACCCGCCCCCACACCCCCCTCCCCTCCCCCCCCACCCGCTCTTCCCCTTGCCCTGTCAACCCCCCCAGACGCGTTCATGCGGTTCTGGGTGGATCGGCGGCTGCTGGCAGCACACATGGCCACGCAGATCACCTCATCGCCTCGTCTCTTCCCCCTCCCCACCATCTCCCTTCCACCATCTCCCTTCCACCATCTCCCTTCCACCATCTCCCTTCCACCATCTCCCTTCCACCATCTCCCTTCCATCGTCTCCCTTCCCTCGTCTCCCTTCCATCGTCTCCCTTCCCTTTCCTTTCTCTCCCCTCCCTCCTCCCCCCCACCTCTTCCCACCCAGGGACGCGTTTATGCGGTTCTGGGTGGACCGGCGGCTGCTGGCAGCAGACATGGCGACGCAGATCTTCCACGTGCTCAAGCAGGACCACCAGAACTACCTCGTGCAGGTACTACCCGAATCCAGGTGGTATGTCATGAAGGTACTATCTGAATCCAGGTGGTATCCAGTGCAGGTACTATCTTACTCGTCCCCCCTTCTCGAACCCCAATGCGCCCCTCAGGACGGCTTCGAGCCCATCATGCGTGAGCTTCTGCTGAATCGCCCCAATAGCAAATCCTCTCCCCCCCTCTCCCCCCCCCCCCCCCCCCCCCTTGCCCCCGTTCCTTCCCCCCGTGCGCCCCGCAGGACGACTTCAAGCCCATCATGCGCGAGCTGCTCAATCGTCACCCAGGCCTGGAGTTCCTGCACGACACACCTGAGTTCCAAGAAAGATACGGTATGCTGCCTAACCTAGGGGTGTGCTGCCGAACCTAGGGGTTGCCGAACCTAGGGTGCCGAACCTAGGTGTGCTGAAACTAGTGCCTCTGCATGCCTGTCTAACCTCCACCCGTTCTGAGCTTCGTGGAGTGCATTCGTGCTCCTTGCATTCGTGCTCCTTGCATTCGTGCTCCTCGCATCGCACCTCAATCCCCCCGCTTCTCTCCTTCCTTCACCCCCCTGCAGAGACGGTAGTAAGGCTCTATCTTCTACCACTTAAGCCAGTCAGGCAACAAACACGCTCTGCAGTAAACCAGGGGAGGGAAAAAGAGCCTTACTACCGTCTTTCTTGCCTGACTGGCTTATGTGGACGCGGCTCTATCTTCTACCACTTAAGCCAGTCAGGCAACAAACATGCTCGCTCTTTTTTCCTCCTCTTGATCCGCATCCCCCCCCCCCCCACTCCCCCCCCCCTTCTCTCCATTCACCCCCCCCTCATGCGACGGCAGTGGAGACGGTGCTCTTCTGCATCTCCCACCACATCAGCCGGCCGCGCAACAGACGCTTCTCATTTTTCTGTCTCCCTCACACACACACACACACCCTCTCCCCTCCCCCCCCTTCCCCCCCTCGCGCAGCGGAGATGGTGATCTACCACTTCGTCTACCACGTCAGCCGGTCGGGCGACAAGCATATCTCATTTTCGTGTCTCCTCAGGCGCCCCCTCCCACCTCTTCCCCCCACTTCCCTCCATCCCCTTCTCCCCCCTCCCCCTGTCAAATGGGTGCAGCGGAGACGGTGTTCTACCGCATCTTCTACCACATCAGCCGGTCGGGCAACAAACAATCTCATTTTATGCCTCCTTTACACACCCCTCCCCCCTCGCTCCCCCACTTACCTCCATCCCCCCCTTCCCCTCCTACATGGTGCAGCGGAGACGGTGATCTACCGCATCTTCTACCACATCAGCCGGTCGGGCAACGGGCGCATCTCCCTGCGCGAGCTGAAGAAGAGCAACCTCATGCTGGCGCTGCAGCAGGTGGAGGAGGAGGAGGACATCAATAAAGTGCTCAAGTGAGTAACGGGTGTACTGCTGATTTTATTGCCGGCATCGAAATAGAGTGAGTCACGTCACGGGTGTGTTGTCGACCTCATGCTGGTGCTGCAGCAGGGGGGGGAGGAAGAGGACATCAATAAAGTGCTCAAGTGACTAACGGGTGTACTATTGATGATTGCCGTTTTCGGAATCATGAAGATTGGGATTAAGGAGATGCCGAACTCAGTCGGATTGACTTGAGACTGAGTTGCCACTTTGTCTCATTCTCCTCCCCTCCCTCCTTCCCCTCCTCTTCCTCCCCCCATCTCCACCCCCCCCTTCCCCACCCTTCCCCAGGTACTTCTCGTACGAGCATTTCTACGTGGTGTACTGCAAGTTCTGGGAGCTGGACTCAGACCACGACTTCCTGATTGACAAGGACGACCTGCTGCGATACGGCAACCACGCGCTCACCTACCGGATAGTAGAGCGCATCTTCGCCCAGGTGAGCGCATCTTCGCCCAGGTGAGCGCATCTTCACCCAGGTGAGGCTCTTTGATCCGATGTAAGTATGCGTGATTGGAAAGCGGATTCTTCAAAGTTGGGCAACCACACACTCACCTACCGGATAGTGGAGCGCATCTTTGCTCAGGTGAGCGCATATCCGCTCAGGTGGGCATCTTCGCTCAGGTGGCCGTTTGTGCGCATCATATGCAATGGTAGGGAAGAGATGTGACTCTGTTGTCGTCCTGCGTTTCTCCTCTGCTCTTCTCTGTTCGTGCTAGCATGATGGCATCATCCCTTCGTTAGTAGTGGCGCCCGTCTCAGACTTTCCTCGAACAAATTCTTCCACTCTACCTTGTTTCCGTGCTGCCAGGTGCCGCGCCCGTTCACGAGTGGAGTGGATGGCAAGATGGGGTATGAGGACTTTGTATGGTTCATCCTATCAGAGGAGGACAAGTCGTCTGAGCCCAGCCTCGAGTACTGGTGAGTCGCATGGATAGGTTGGTTGTTGCTGGTGGGCCGTGGGAGGGCTGTAGTAGTGTATGGGTGCATCGTGTCTGTGTGGGTGCTTGTCGCATCCACACATGTATCTATTGAGGCTTGTGTGCCGTGTTGTATCCGTTCGTTGCCTGTTGTAGAAATTTTGTGCCATGTGCATGTGTGTGTTCCCCCTCCTTTCCTCCCCTCCCACCTCAGGTTCCGGTGTGTGGACCTGGATGGCGACGAGCGCATCACGGCGCCGGAGATGCAGTACTTCTACGAGGAGCAGCTGCACCGCATGGAGTGCATGGCGCAGGAGCCCGTGCTCTTCGAGGATGTCGTCTGCCAAATGGCCGACATGATCAAACCCGCGGTGAGCCCCAGGGGAGAGAGACATGCAGGCACAGAGCTGTACGCTTGGACTGCTAGGACAGATACCTGGTACTTGGGGTTAGAGGGCTTGTCCGATTGAGACGAGTGCAAGGTCAGTTGCTGGGTTATATGTATGCCGTTGTCTCTACTGTTTGCCCTATTTCTTCGTCCTGATGTCTCCTTGACTCGTCTATTGTTGCCCTGAGCAGAAGGATGGAGTGATGACGCTGCGGGACCTGAAAGGGTGTCGGTTGTCTGGCAACTTCTTCAACATACTGTTCAACCTTAACAAATTCGTAGCATTTGAAACACGTGACCCTTTCCTCATTCGACAGGTCAGTCTTTCCTCTCATTTTTCACAAGCAGGGCTGTCCACCTCTGTTTCCTCGCTGCAAAGTGCTGTCTTCTATGCACAATCCCACAGCCTCCTGTGCACTCTGTTTCAAGCGAACTGCTGTTTCCTTTTTCTTACAGGAGAGGGAAGACCCTACACTAACAGAGTGGGACCGCTTTGCTCGAGCTGAATACATCCGGCTGTCTATGGAGGATGAAGGTGATGATGCTTCCAATGGCAGTGCAGAGGTCTGGGACGAGTCCCTCGAGGCACCCTTCTGAGTCCTGCCCACAGTTGTAGGGTCGTGTGTCTGTAGTATCGGTTTCAATTGCTGCTTCGGCAACCAAGGGCTTGCTGCCTCTTCTCTACTGGTGTTACCCTATTCGTTTTTAATCGAGGTCGCTTCAGGATGCAGTACTGATGTGTGCACACTCCAGGCTGATTAACTGATTTAAGTGGTTTTCAATCTGCAAATGCCCTGTACTGAGGTCCAATCCAATGCCAATGATTTGAACACACTTGCCCTTCACTACCCTGAGCAAATAAGAGTCTGTTGCCAACCAGATAAGGTTGAATGAAAGTACAAAAATTCTTGTGCTGGGTCACCAGCTTGTGTTGATCCATCTGCATGGTTCAGCAGCAAGGTATGACCCTTCATCCATACCGTATTGGCCCTCCAAAAATGGCAGCGATCATGTGGATACGGCCGCACCAGTTTCCTCAACGATTGGAGGCTGAATATCTGCAGCTGCCTGCTGTGCGTCAGTGCTGTTGCTCTTGCCAAGTTCACTAGCTGGCAATTCTGCTGTAGCTCCATCTGATGATCTACGGTCCGTTTCTTCGGCAGCATCGGCCATGCTTTCCTGCACATTGACATTCTCCTGTGCTTGCCGCTGCTGTTCCTGGGCCTGTTCAAGCCACTTCTTCCTTTCAGCCTGCAGCGATCGGCACAGCCCTTCCAGCTTCTGCTTCTGAGCCTGCACTGTGTCAAGCTGCTTGCGCTGTGCTGCGCGCTGCAACAGCAGAATGACGCAGAGCAAAGTAAAACGGTTAAGTGGCACATCCACTCCCTTAAAGAAAGCAAGTGACCATCTGTGGACTGACAAAAACAATTACCTCATCAAGAAGCTCAATCAGGGAAACGTCAGATTTTTCAGACTTCGTCCGTAGATCTGAATTGTCTTTCTCCAGTTTCTTCATTCGCTTGGTCATCTGGAAGTAGCTCAAGTGCCAGCAGATGGCAACCGGTGCGTTAGCTGACTAGAGTAGACATTGATGCTTCCAGCAGCACTTTAGTGAAGTGTTGAACTAACCTTGTCCATTTCCTTCTTCATTGTGCTGAGGACTTCATTGCTCTTAGATAGAGTACCCTGCATACAAAACCTCGCCTTGGTGAGCCAAACAAGTTTTATTGCTTTCCATGGTCCATACATATGATAATGGGCATGCAGACATTCTCACCTGAAATTGATCAAACTTCTCAATGTACAACGACAACTGGCCTCTCAGGTCTTTTTCTGTCTTCAGTAGTTCCTTGACCTGTTCGCCTCTTGCCTTGCTCTGCAGGAATGTGAAGGTTTATGACGAAGAAAATAATAAATGGCAGAAGAAAATCATGCTGACAAATAGAACAGACAAGCAATTAATTTTAACCCTGCGTACCAGAGCCCGTTCTTCAACCATCAGCTTCTCTTGCTGCTTGTATTTCGCATCCAGAAGCTGGTACTCAAGGTCCTTTGTCTTGATCTAAGAGCAAGTCACGCAGACGCAGGATTAAACTTGAGATTGCGAACAAAGACAGAGCAAAAACTTCAACTTGAGACCACTCACAAGATGAGCCCAGTACTTCTCCTTGACATCCGCGTGCTCTTGTATCTTCTTAAGTTGCTCTGCAAGACTGCACACAGCAGCCAGAACATCCAACAGTATGTATGAAGGAAAGACCATAGAATCAGCAGTCCGTTCAACCTACCACCATACCAGCCAAACGCTGATCTGCAGCAGCAATGTTAGCCAAAAAAATATGGCTCACATCTGATTTTCCTTGAGGTGGCTTGATCTTTCAGCTCCCTGTTCCTCCAACCTGGTTTCAATGTCCTGCAAGCAACCAGAAGAAGCCATAAGGATGAATAACGCTCAACGACGGTAAAAAATTACAACAGCGTGGGTCCTGAAGTACCTTGATGGAGTCAAGAAATTTGGATGATAGTTCTTCTCGTTTCTGCTGCTGCTCGTTTGCAGCCTTCTTACTTTCTTCCTGCACCGTGAAAGACAACGACCAGAAAGAACATGAGAAGAAGGTCCGGAAGTACAACAACCGAATTTGAAAGCATGCAGGAACGTGCCAGGATAGTCTTGTTCTGCTTCTGGAGTTCACGGCACAATGTCTCCAATTTGCCTCTAAGTGTAACAGACTTCCTCAATTCGGCCATCACTGAAACAATGAAACATTCAAGCACGTAAGCACTTCAAGCACGCTATGCTTTGGGTGACAGTAAAAGGACAAGCAGGATGTCAAACCAGTTGTCTCACCAGAGTCGCGTTCCTTTATCAGCTGATCTATCTTCTTTTGCAAAGCTACGCTCTCCTTATCGCCAGCCTTGGCCTCTCGCGCCTGCAATGGGAAAAGCCAGATGGTGAGAACAAACAAAACGATATGGAACTAGTCAAGCTCCGCTTACCTGCGCCATAATTTTGGAATGCAATATCTTGATCTTTTCATCCGCAGGTACTTCAGGATCGTCAACGACACGCCGTATTTGTTCCAGCGCCAGCCTCCCTCCCTTCCCTGCAAGGCTTGCATGACAAAGGTTAGCATACCCCGCGTGAAAATGCATAAGAGAGTCTACTAGTAAAGAATCATTACCCTGAGATTTGTTCTTCCCTTCGCCTGAGCTTGACTTAGAAGAGGATGCGGATGTGCTCGGCTGCTTGCTTTCCAAACCGACTTCTACTGTGCTCTCCGCAACAACTTCCAGTTCTGAGAACCCCTCTTTCTTGTCGTTAGTTTGCTCATCAGCTCGAACGCTTCCGTCCTCCACTTCCGGGACATGGACCGTCGCCCCTTTCTGCCGATCCTCTGCCTGAGGAGCTTCAAAGCTCGTCACTCCGGAATTCGACGGGGGTTGCGCTGAGTCAGCCATGCCTTCGCGAATCGTACGAGAGACCCTACAGAGTCTTACCCGAATGCTAGCGGCGTAAACGATGTAGGGATGGCCGAATTCTGTCTGCTGGATGACCCACAAGGTGCCAGCGAGGAGACACAAAGCAGGGAGAACCAAACGAGGATTGAGAACCAGGAGATATTGAGAACCAGAAGCACAGTAAAAAGAGCTATTGGTTCTTACGTACATAACTCAATTTCAGTGGATATTGTCAACTTATACATATGCTGTATGTAGAAGTTATAGGCTAGCCTAGGTGTGTGCTTCTAGTGAGTACAACCCCAACAGGTACATGTTCTAGGTTTCTCACACTAGTCCATTCATTCTCTCTTTCTAACATGGTATCATGAGTAGGTTCGGTTCCTCTCGCCCGCCCACGCTTCCGCCCTAGGCCCTAGCCGCCCTCGTGACCCGTCCCTAGCTGGCCCCCTCCCCCCTGGCCGTCCCGTCCGCCCCTAGACGGCCCCCTGGCCGTCGCGTCCGCCCCTAGCCGGCCCCCTGGCCGTCGCGTCCGCCCCTAGCCGGCCCCCTGGCCGTCGCGTCCGCCCATAGCCGGCCCCCTGGCCGTCGCGTCCGCCCCTAGCCGGCCCCCTGGCCGTCGCGCCCGCCCCTAGCTGGCCCCCTGGCCGTCGCGTCCGCCCCTAGCCGGCCCCCTGGCCGTCGCGCCCGCCCCTAGCTGGCCCCCTGGCCGTCGCGTCCGCCCCTAGCCGGCCCCCTGGCCGTCGCGTCCGCCCCTAGCCGGCCCCCTGGCCGTCGCGTCCGCCCCTAGCCGGCCCCCTGGCCGTCGCGCCCGCCCCTAGCCGCCCCCCTGGCCGTCGCGCCCGCCCCTTGCTGGCCCCTTGGCCGTTGCGTCCGCCCCTAGCCGACCCTCTGGCCGTTCGCGCCCGCTCCTAGCCGGCCCCCTGGCCGTCGCGCCCGCTCCTAGCCGGCCCCCTGGCCGTTCGCGCCCGCTCCTAGCCGGCCCCTCCTAGCGCCCGCCCAGCCCCCTCTACCGCCCGCTCGGCCCCTCCACAGCGCCCGCCCGGCCCCTGCTAGCGCCCGCCCGGCCTGTTGCGCCCGCCCGGCCTGTTGCGCCCGCCCGGCCCCACCCAGCGCCTGCCCGGCCCCGATAGGCCTGCCCGAATCCTGCGGCCCGCAGCTCCCTGTGCCTGCCCGGCTCCTGCGGCTCCGTGTCTTCTGCTCGGCATGGTTCCTCGGGTCTCCGGCCTCGTGTCTTCTGCTTGCCAGCGTTGGAGCGTCCTGCAGACGTCCCCCTAGAGCTGTGTTGCTGTGTCCCTGTGCCGCTGTGTCGTGTAGAGCTGTGCCGCTGCGTCCCTGTATCGCTGACCCTGCACGATGGCTGACTTCGTACTCCGCCTGGACGCTGAGGGCCATGCGGTTGACTTCGTCGCCTGGCTGTCCGATCTCCGTCGTCAACTCACAGGTCAGCGCCAGGATGGGCATTCCTTGGTTCTCCATACTGATGGCTTGCTCCCCCGCCCCCCTGCGCCTGCTCCCCTCCCTGCTGACCCCACCTCTGCTGAGCGTGAGACTTTCTCTGCTGCTGCACTTGCCTGTGCCGTCTGGGACTCTCGCGATGCAGTTGCTCAGGTCGCTATTAGTCACGCCCTCCCTGTGTCTGAGCGTTCGCATTTTGCTATAGTTGATACAGCCAAGGCTTACTTAGAAGCTGTTGTTGCTCGCTATTCGACGCCTGCCTCCGCTACTGCAGGCCGCCTGCTCTTCCCTATGCTTTTCCCAGACCTTGCTTCCTTCCCTACTGTTGCTGACCTTGCCACTCACCTGCGCGCCCTAGAGTCTCGCTACCGCACTGCTGCCCAAGTCACTGCGCTCCCTCCCCCCTTTTGCATGACCCTCTACTTTATCGCCATGCGCATGCCTGACCGCCTTGCTAGTGCACGCGACCACATCCTTCGCCAACACCCGGGTGATCTCACCCTGCCATCCTTTGTCACCGCCCTGACCGAGATCGAGACTCGCCAGCGCACTATCACTCAGTCGAGCGGTGCGCCGGCAGTCTCTATCTTTCACGGCTGTGCCCCCTCCCAGTGCACGTTTACTGACGTTTTGGCTGCGGTCGCCACTGCGACCCCTCTGACCGAGACTGCAGCTGCGGTACACCCGCAGCAGCGCTCGCACCGCGCCGGTCGTGGCCGCCAGGGAGGGCATGGTGGTGGAGCCGGTTGTAGTAGTGGTGGTACCGGGGACAGTGGTTCTACTGAGGGGACTGCCTCAGCTAGTCAGGAGCAGCAGCCGTCGCTCCAGCAGCAGGAGCAGCCGTCGCAGCAGTCGCAGTCGTCGCAGCAGCTGTTCCAGCCCCAGCTGTGGGCTCGCCTCACCCCCGGTTGGCCCGGCACCTCCGTAGGTGGTGGCCGTGGTGGCGGCCCGCGCAGCTTGGCGTCTACTGGCAGCTCCGTTGGTGTGACCTGCCACTACCAGCTTCAGACTGGGCCTCTCCGCGGCACTCTGTGCCCCCGCCCGCACCCGACCGCCCGCTGTTTCCGCCGCCTCGACGATCTCTTTTGTCGTCGCTTTGGCCCGGCCCCGGACCTCCCTGACTGGCACAGCCTGCTTCGCCAGGGCGTGCCGATCTTTGATTTAGATATGGATCAGATAGGTGCTGCTTTGCATGCCTTGTATGCTGACGCTTCTAGTGTTGCTGGATCTTATTACCCTGTGTACTCTAGTTTAGGCGTAGCACCCTTGTGTAGCTTAGCCTCCCCTGCTGCGTCAGGCGTAGGACTGCCTAGTTTGCCTAGCCTAGTTTCTGCACCGGCTAGCTTCCCGGCCTCCGCTACTGCCTCGCTGTCCTTCACTCTCGACTCCGGTGCTTCTGCCTGTTTCTTCCACGACCGCTCCACGCTCACGCCGCTTGCTGCGCCTGTTGTTGTCGCTCTCGCTGACCCCTCCGCGGGTCCTGTCGTCGCTCGCAGCTCCACTTCCCTTCCCTGTCCAGCCGTTCCCTCGGGCTCTCTTACAGGCCTCCACGTTCCCTCGTTCTCTAGGAACCTGGTTAGTGTCGGCCGTCTTCAGGACCTCGGCGTCACCACTACGTTCCCTGGGCACGAGCGGTTCGCTGTCTGTACCGAGGCAGTCTCAGGTTCCCCCCTTGCGATGTTCCCCCGGGACCCGGTGTCCGGTCTGTTTACCCTCGACACCGCTTCCCCCCCAGCTGGTGCGTCCTCCCAGGTCGCTGCAGCTTGCTCGTGTCGGTCCCTCACACACCCGTCTCTTCTGTGGCACCACCGCTTAGGTCACCCTGCTCTCCCGCGCCTGCGTCACATGTCCCAGCACGGTCTTGTCTTAGGTCTCCCTGCGTCGCTCCCCGCACTTCCCCCCTCGACTGCGCCACCGTGCACGCCTTGCGTCGAGGGCCGGCTCCGCCGTGCCCCTCACTCCTCCTCGCTTCGCCCTGCTACTGCTCCCCTTCAAACCCTTCACCTGGACGTTTGGGGCCCAGCCCCCGTCCCCGGACCGCGCGGTGAGCGCTACTTTCTTGTGCTCGTCGACGACTACACGCGCTACACCACGGTGTTTCCCCTGGAGCGGAAGGCCGACGTGCCCGACGTTCTTCTCCCGTGGGTTGTGGCTGCGCATCTTCACCGCGGTCTCCCCGTGTTGTGTCTCCACTCTGACCGTGGCAGCGAGTTCGCCTCTGGTCGGCTTGGACAGTTCTGTCGTGCGGATGGCATCACCCAGTCGTACACCTTGCCGGAATCGCCACAGCAGAATGGGGTTGCTGAACGCCGCATCGGCTTGGTCATGGAGGTTGCTCGTACCTCCATGATTCATGCCGATGCCCCCCATTTTCTGTGGCCGTTCGCTGTTCGCTACGCTGCTCACCAGCTTAACCTGTGGCCACGCTCCCTGCGGCCGCGGGTTTCGCCGACCCTTTTTTGGACCGGGTCCCCCGGTGACGCGTCTGCGTTCCACGTCTGGGGTTGCCTTGCTCACGTTCGTGCCTCTGGTACGGACAAGCTCACTGCCCGCACTGTCCCCTGTGTCTTCCTCGGTTTCCCCCTGGACTCGTCTGACTGGCTGTTCTACCACCCGTAGTCTCACCGCTTCCTCCACTCCCGTGACGTCACCTTTGACGAGTCTGTCTCCTTCTACCGTCGCTTCCCTTACCGAGGTCTCCCGGTTCCCCCCCCCCTTGTTCCTGGCTCCCTCTCTCCCGATAGCCCCTGCTCCCCTCCCGCCTCGTCCTGCCCCGTGCGGTGTCTCCCATGTCACTCCCCTCCCGTCGGTTGTCCCCGTTGAGGAGTCTGCTGACTCTGGTGGTCCCCCCGGCCCGTCCTTGCCGCGTCCCCCTTTCCCGGTGTCTCCGCCTCCGCTGTCGCAGCCGCCACCGCCGCCGCCGCCGCTGCCGCCGCTGCCGCTCTTGGCCTATGGGGGTGCTGGCGTTGAGGAGGGTGTTCGTCCTGCGGCCCCTGGCGTGGTCTGTCCCGGCGGGCCTGGGGGTGCCGTCGGTGCTAGAGGGGGTTCTCGCTCTGGGGGTGTTGGTTCTGGGGGTGCTGCTGTTGAGTGTTCTCCCAGCGGCCGTCGTGCCCCTGCCGGTCCGCGGGTCGAGCACCAGCCGCCGCAGCAGCCGCCGCAGCCGTCGCCGCCGGTCTCCGCTCTTCGCCTGCTCGGCCTTCTCTGTGTTCCCACCGCCGGACTCGTCTCTGGCCCGTCTTCCTCCTCGTTCCCCTTTTGTGTCCCCTCTGCTGTCTCCTGACCCTACACCTCCGTCCCACGTTTGGTCTCGCCGTCCCTCCCGTGCTCGTCCCGTCTCTCCTGTCCTGCGCTCCCACCCTATGTTGCTCCGTTCCCACTCGTCTCGTCCTCCCCTCCTCCCGTCGCCTCCTCCCTTGTCGCTTGTTGTTGCACCTCCCCCGCTGTCGGACTACCTCCGTGCCGCTCGTCCCCTTGTCCCTCGGGTTCTTGCCTCTCTTGTTACAGACCCGTCTGTTCCTGTCTCGCGCCTTGATGCGCTTGTCGCGGCTGTCGCTGACTTTGCCTCTACTCGCCGCCTTGACTACGCTACCGGTCTGGTCTCTGACCCTACCCGTCCTCCGTCCGTCGGGGGTGCACCTGCCCTTGGCAGTGACGTTCTAGAGGACCGGCAGTACAAGCTTGCTTTCCTTTCCGAGGCCGCTCCCCATCTCTGCTCCATCCTCCTAGTCCCAGAGGGTGACCCAGACGCCTTCGACATCCTGACCCCTCGCACTTACGCTGAGGCCACCTCGGGACCTTGGGCCTCTCAGTGGATAGCTGCCATGGAGCAGGAGATGGCATCTTGGAGGTCCACCGGCACTTACGTCGGCGCTGTTCCCCCGCCTGGGGTGAACGTAGTCAATGGTCGGTGGCTCTTCAAGGTGAAGCGCCCCCCTGGAGAGCCACCTGTCTTCAAGGCGCGCTACGTGGCTAGAGGCTTCAGCCAGCGTGAGGGTGTTGACTTCTTCCAGACCTTCGCCCCGACCCCGAAGATGACCACTCTTCGGGCGCTGCTACACGTAGCAGCACAGCGCGACTATGAGCTTCACTCCTTCGACTTCTCTACTGCCTTTCTTCAGGGCAGCCTACACGAGCAGGTGTACCTGCGCCGACCACAGGGCTTCGCTGGTACCTTCCCCCCTGGGACCCAGTGGCTTCTCAGGCGCCCGGTCTATGGCCTGCGCCAGGCTCCCCGCGAGTGGCACGACACGCTGCGTGCCACGTTAGCAGACCTGCAGTTCTTTCCGTCCTCGGCTGACCCCTCGCTGTTTGTGCGTTCTGGCCAGACTCCGTTCTACATCCTTGTCTACGTAGACGACCTGGTCTTCGCTACTGCTGGCAGGGACGCACTGGCCTCTGTGAAGGCCGAGCTGCTGAAGAGACACACCTGCACTGACCTTGGAGAGCTGCGTCGTTATCTTGGCCTGTAGATCTCAGGTCGTCACAGGGCTACTGTTTTAGCCTTGGTTCGGGTGCTATCTCTTGGAGATCCACTCGCTCGTCGTCTGTTGCTCAGTCCAGCTGTGAGGCTGAGATCTACGCCGGTGCCATGGCGGCATAGGAGCTCCGCTGGCTGACCTTCTTGCTCACAGGCTTAGGTGAGCGGCCTAGCTCTGCCCCGGTCCTGTACGCTGACAACAGGGCCATGATTCTCCTGTGTCAGGAGCCTCGGCTTGAGGGCAGAGCGAAGCATATCCAGCTGCGGTACTTCCTCCTGCGCGAGCTACAGCAGCATCGACAGGCCCGCGTAGTTCACTTAGCGTCAGGTGCCAACACAGTTGATATCTTTACGAAGGCGCTTGCGCCTAAAGATCATCAGCGGCACTGTGTACATCTTGGTCTTGTTCCTGTAGCTACTCACCTGTTAGGACCCTGATTGTGTACTCTCTATTATATATACCTGTCTGACTGGCCTTGTGGCCTTACCTCCAGTGGCTGGACTAGTAGTGCCGCCCTGGCTTGCTGTAGTCTTGCTTGTACTCTTGCTGACTGGTCTCAGGACCCCTACCTCAGTGGTTGGACTAGTAGTGCCACCCTGAGATGTGTGCTTCTTGCTTAACACCACCCTTTCTCTAGCCTAGGGGGTGTGTCAACTTATACATATGTTGTATGTAGAAGTTATAGGCTAGCCTAGGTGTGTGCTTCTAGTGAGTACTACCCCAACAAGTACATGTTCTAGGTTTCTCAGACTAGTCCATTCATTCTCTCTTTCTAACAGATATAACATACACCTAAGAGCATCATTGTATTCCCCCTTTTCTTTATGAAGCCCAACATGGATGTAGCATACGACCTAGGAAATCTAGATGCTCGCACTTATCCTCCACTGCCCTAAATGCTATTCTCCAACATCCATGTATGGCACTAATGCGTCTTGCCGTCCATGTCGCTTCGCCTCCATTTAAGAATCCAAGGGTGGTCTGAAGTGACCAATGGGCAAGGGGGGTCAATAACAGTGAGGGGAACGGGACAATGGGTATTGGGTATTGGGACAATGGGTATTGGGTTTGGGCCAATGGGCAATGGACTAGCTATTGGCATGGGCAGCCCAAAGACCAAGGCGTCTCTCCCGATCACTTCTAAATGATGTGCCCAGAAAACCAATAGATCCATTGACTGACTGCGCCTTGTGATTGGAAAGCTCTAACGCTTAGCCTAACTTCCCCCTCCTGATCCGTGCACATACGCCTCACACTGCCACACCAACACACCTAGGGAGCTCCTCGAACACACCAAACGCACCTAGAACCTGGTTGCCTGTGAATCCACTTCTTGGCTCATCCTAGACACCTCCTCCAACATTCCTGCTTGCTGCATTTGTTAGCACACCCAGTCTGCCAAACCATGACATACCTAGAACTTGGTTGCACGTGATTCGCCTTCTTGGGTCCTTCTCCAGCATTCTCACCACCAGGTCCTTTGCCTCCTCCGACACCCCTCGCCACCGCGATGTGCGCAGCGTCACTGGCTTCCTGAGGATGGCATCTGTCACGCTGTGATTGGCCGAGGACCAGAAGGGCGGCGCGCCGCACAGCATGATGTAGAGGACAGCCCCCGCGCTCCATACATCAGCCTCGGGGCCATATGCACCCTTGATTACCTCCGGTGCCATGTATTCACGTGTGCCCATAACATCATGCAGGGGGACGCCTGGCATTCATTAAGGGAGGAGGAAGGGGGAGGGGGAAAAGGGGCAAAGAAGAGACCACGATGTAGCAAAACACCCTCACACTCCGAACGGCCTGCCTCGGGCATTTTTTGCAGCATTGATCACCTCAGAAGGCTTGGTGCTTTCATCATGTCATCCAGTGGAATGACTGGCAGTAGATGCGTGGTTGGAGGAACAAGCCATGCATTCATGGGGGTGCCATGTGTGAAAGCACATGGCATGGAGTGCAGATCAATAGCTGATGGGACTTGCAGCACAAGTGGACGCCAAGGGGGGGCAGGGTGTAAGGCTGCTGTAGCACAAGCTGCAAGCACGCACCTTTCTTGAACGCAGTGGCCACCCCAAAATCCGAGAGCTTGACAGGGGAGTGGGAGCGCGGGTGCAGGAGCAGAATGTTCTCGGGTTTGACGTCGCGGTGCATGATGCCCTGGCGGTGGCAGTGCAGCAGCGCCGCCACCACTCCTCTGCACACCGACGCACACACGCCCTCGCTCAGCCGCCCGTTGCACCGAATCAAATCAAACAGCTCGCCGCCCGCACAGAGCCCTGTGACGACGTGTATGTTCTGAGAGAGAGGCAAAGACAGAGGGAAGGGCGAAGACGAGAATGTCTGATATGCTCTGAAATGGTTTGATTGCAATGGGTGAAAGCTCGAATTAACGACCAGGCCACCTTAGCCCTGCCAGTATGCTGGCTTGCTCACCTAATGGAATCAACTGGTCTCACCTCTGCATCTTCGAACACAGCCTTGAGTGCCAGCACGTGGGGATGGCCCCCAACGGCCTCCAGACAAGCCATCACTGACAGAAGTCTACTTTTGAGGTGCCTCAAATCTGGGCTCACCTCTGCATCCTCGAACACGGCCTTGAGTGCAAGCACATGCGGATGGCCCCTGACAGCCTCCAGGCATGCCACCATGCGCCTCACATCCCTCGCATCCTCCCTCGTGACTATCCCACGCTTCTCCACTGTCTTGCACGCATACACCTCCCCAGACGCCACCTCCACACACCTCCTCACCGTGCCCAGCTCGCCCTGCCCCAGCACCTCCCTCTTTATAATAACAAACGAGGCTGCTACATCGGAGAATTCCCTGCCTAGGACGTGGTGCCTCGGGTGGGAGTCGGTTCTTGCTGCTGCCGCTTCTTCCTCCTCCTGCGCCCTCTCCCATATATCATCACCACCATTCTCATCAGCATCAGCATCAACATCAGTGCCAGCAGCGTCGCGAGCGCTAGTCTGGGTCGTACTGGGTCCATCCCTTTCCTTGCTCCTTCGACTGCCTGCCCTCTTCCCTTCGCAGCTCCTCGCCTCATCAGACTCATCCGCTTCGTCGTCCCATCTCTCATCCCCATCATCTACATCCACGCCTCCATCCCCCATCCCCTCCCCTGCCTGCTCCCCATCCTCCTCCTCCTCTTCCTCCTCACTCTCCTCCCCCCTTCCCCCTCGCCTCCCCCCTCGCTCTGCCTGCTCCAGCCCATGAAGAGCCACCACCTGCTGCAGCTTCGCCAGGTCCTGCGGCCGCTCCTTGGCCAAGGCATCCAGCATCGCAAACAGCTTGTCAGCCGCTCCCCCCTCTCCTTTCTGCGCCGCTCCCTGCTGCTGCTGCTGCTGCTGCTGCGGCGGCGCCACTACGGCGGCTGGTTGCTGCTGGGACCTGGCTCGACGAAAATCGCGTGCATCCAAGTCGACACCAGCTGATCTAAGAGCATGGGAGTGCTGAGGTTGCTGCTGGGTCAGGGATCGTGGCAGGCGGATGGGAGCATCCTCCCTCTTACCTGTACCCTGACTCGCCTCAGGACGTAGGTTAACCGGGGCCGGTGGGTGCTGCTGGGTGAGTGAGCGCGGTATGTGGATGACTGCACTGCCCTTATGGCCCGTGCTGGCATGCCTATGGGGCACGACGGTCGCCTCGCCCCCATGCTGTGTCGCCACCCGCCGCACCTTACCTGCCTCCAAGGCCGAGCATGGCGGATGTGCCTGCTGGGATGCAATGCGCCGCAGCTGGGAAGCACTGGCGCCTTCAGCAGCAGCAGCACTGGCAGACGAAGCAGTGGAGGGACGTCTGCCGCTCTGTGCAGTGCTGGGCCGCGACGAAGCACGGCCCACAGACGCTCTTTCCAGTGACTCCAAGGACCCTCGCGCGGAGAAGGAGCGAGAACGAGCATGGGCTGCAGAGTGGTGGCTAGAACCAGGCGATGTGGCACTTGCATCGCCTTCATGGTGCTGGTGCTGTAGCTGGTGCTGGTGCTGGTTCTGGTGGGGATCAAGGTTGTGTTGGCTGGCTCCCATGCATGAAACCGTGGCCGCATCATCCCCGTCCTCCTCGTCCCCCTCTTCCCCATCAGAAAAGCCTCCGCCTGACTGTGCTCCCATGTCTTCCCCGTCGCTGCACCAGTCGCACGCCACAGAGGGGGCGTCCATGCAGAACACCCGCCTGAACCGGCTTCGCCTACCCTCTGCTGCACCCCCCTCAGACGAGCCCTCCCCTGCTGCTCCACCACCTGCTGCCCTCGCTCCGCTCACTCCACTCACTCCGCTCACCCCTCTCTGTGCTCCCACTGCTCTCTCGGGCGAGCACTTCTTCGAGCCTCTTCCCAAGGATGCTCGAGAGCCTCTTGCTCGCTCATGCCCGCCCGTCCTGCCCGCCCCGCCCATCCGCCCTGTCCGTCCGCCCTGCTCACACCCTCTTGCTTCAGCTGCCCCGTCCGCCCTGCCCGCCCTGCCTGGACCAATCACAGCCTGCCCGCTGTCGGAGGCACTGCGCCTGTGGGCCCCACCCAGTTTACGGGGAGCAGGGGCAGGAAGGCCAGAGGGGATCGACTTGGGCCTGCTTGCACCAGCACCAGCACCAGCAGCAGCAGCAGCAGCAGCAGCCGCAGCAGCAGCAGCAGCAGCCGCAGCAGTAGCAGCAGGGGCGGTGGCGGCAATGCTAACAGCCGTGGATGCTGCAGTGGCTGTGGCAGTGGACGTCCCATTGAAGGTGCGTGTGTGCGTGAGAGCAGCAGCTGAAGGTGCAGCGGAGGTGCAGGCTGCAGCGTGGCCGTGGAAGCTGGCGGACTGGGTCAGTCTCCCCCTGGGCTCGACACTTTGCAGCACAGGAGCTGCAGGAGCAGGGACAGCAGCAGCCGCAGAAGCCACAGCAGCAGCAGCGGCAGCAGCAGCCGCAGCAGCAGCAGGATTACAGGGCCGTGCAGGGCTCCCATGCATAGAGACGTCCATACTCACGCCTCTCCGGTGCGACGGGCCCTTCTTGCTGACATCCATGCTCCGGGACCGACTGTGGTGAGTCTCTTTCTTCTGAGCATCACCCTCAGCCCTTGATGGCCTTGCCTGCCCCTTCCCTCTGCCCTGCTCCCTCCCTGCCTGCTTTCCAGTTCTCTCCCGTTCCTCCTTGCCCTCTACGCCATCCATCCTCCCCTGCGTTTGGATCCTAACCATGCTCTCTCGGTCGATCCGGATCTGAACTTCCCCCTCACTCATATCGCACGCCATCATCCTCGCATACTCCGACTGGTCGCAGCTCTTGCTCTTGCTCCGCCTCCTCTCTCCATCCCTCCCCGCCTCTCTATCCCTCCCTGTACCTCTATGTCTCCCTGTCTCTCTATCTCTCCCTCTCTCCCTGCTTTTGCTCCTTTTCTCCTTCTCCTTCCGCCTCCTCTCCTCCTCCCTCTCCCGCCCCACCCTCAGCTCCCCAATCCGTCTCTTGAATTCCTCCATCTTGCTCCGCTCCCCTTTTTCATCCCCCTTATTGCCTTTCTCGTTTCCCATTCTCAGCGCGTTCAGCCGGAGTCGGAACAGGGACATCTTGTTTCCGAGCACCCCCTCATCCGAGTGCCTCCTCACCTTCAACTCTTTCAACCTCTGCTTGAAAAGTGTCATCTTTTCGCTCCCTGCATTGCCCTCCGCCAGCCAATCAGAATCCGCCACGTGGCCACTGATATCCTCGCAACTGCTAGGTCTGGGGAGCCTTCCTTGCGCTCCCTGCCTTTCCTCGGGCGCAGGAGCCGTTTTTGGCCGCGCAGAGTGTCTCCTGCTCCCCCCTCGCTCGGCCACCATCTCGTTACAGTCACTCCAGCAACCCCCAGATTCATCACCATCCGCATCACTCAGCCTCGATGCTGTCACATCCGTTTCTTGCACTGGTCTCGCGGCTAGATGGCGTTCCTCCTCCGCCTGACTCGCCTGCTGACTGGTGGCCGCATCTAGAGGACTCTCTGGACGGTCCAGATCGAGCAGATCTGGTGCAGATCGTGGCTGTGGAAGAACGGACAGCTGAGATTCACTCTCTGATCTCCTGTTGGGAGCGCGCTTGCAGTCTCCGTCCGTGCGAGATCGGCAGGGTTTGATGGGGCCTCCCTCAGTGTTGCTGCTGCTGCTGTTGCTGTTGCTGCTTCTCGAGCTCTTGCTGCTCCTGCTTGTCTTCGCGGTTCTCTTGCTCGAGCTCGGTGACTGACACTGTATCGCGCCCTGTATATAACGAAGCTCGGAGGGCGACGTGCTTATATGGGGCCTCTGAGGCCCGGCGCAAGATACGGACTGGGAGTGGGGGAACAGCCCTTGTCCGAGGGAGGGAACCTTCTCATCTGCATGGGTCTGCGACCGCGGCAAGCGTGCTTGTACCAGGTGTGACTGTGATTGGTGTGATTGTGAGTGGAGTGATTGTGAGTGGTGTGACTGTGAGCCATCGGAGCTGGAGTGCGGGAAGGCGGAGGAGTAGGGGCTGCTCTGATCGTCGGTCGCGGATTGCGGGGACGGGTGGGTATTGTCTAAGATAGCGGACTGGGTAGAACAAGATCGGACGGAGCCGGTCTGAGGCGATAGCCGCGAAGCAAGACGTGTCGCTGAGTTGTCGCCTGCCGTCTGTCGCCGTGCGACTTCAGCGCCTCCAACGGCCACGGCTGCAGCAGCTGTCAGGAACGCGTCGAGACGACCAGCTTTATTAGGCGAGAAGATATCGGCGGGATTCATGGCGGGCTTACAACTCAGACGAACGACCGTCGAGGTCGACGCTGAGCTCGAGCCACCACCATAGTCGCGAGAAAACGGCCTGTCCGCCTCAGAAGCCGTAGCCGGCCGCGTTCTCTTCACTTTATTCGGTAGCACATGCCCGGCAGCACCACGGTTGACGTCGGCGTCCGCCGCCATTGTGTGTCTCAGCGGATTCGCGTTATTGAGCCAGTGGAGAACCTCCGCCTGACTCGCTCCGGAGGGGTGTGGCTGGTGGACCGTCGCGATGGCGGTCGCAGAGGCCCGGGACGCTGGCGGCCGCTGCGAGTGGCTCGAATGGGCCGCGGAATGGGAAGCCAGATGGGAAGGGGGGTCTTGAATGGAACCTCGACTCCGTGACCGACGGTGTTGGCCGTGCCGCTGCTGAGCCGGCTCGTCGCGGCGGTTTCGGGAATGGTTCACGAATTCGCCCTCCGCGCGGATTGGTAAGTGCCAAGGATTTGTAGTGTCGCTAAGCGGATGATTCTCCGACACAATGTTAGCCATTGCGATGGATTTCACTGAAAGCACGTGCGTAGCTTCACGGCAACGGCTGTAGAGTATACGGTGTACTGAGTATGGTATACAGTGAGTTCGGAATACCGTGCTAACAACGGACGGAGACTACCACCGAGAGCTGTTGAATGGAGCTATTGGATCCTTTGGAAAAGAATGCATAGAACTGATGCGCATGGTCGCAGCAAAAGCGACCTCACTGCCCAAGCAAGTGACGAGTCCATGCGCGACAGTATCGATGTGAGGCGTCTACTTCTAGGGACGGTCTTAGCAGCTGGCACTACACAATTGCTCTCCATGGCTGCTCTCTGCGAAGACAAACATAGCAGTTGGCTGCTATGCTGCATGCTGAAATGAGCAGCTAGCTTCCTATGTCAAGCCTCCCTGGAAAATCCGATGTGATGAGGTCCTGTATGATGATGACATCCAGTGGGGGGGACGCCGAAGAAAGGCTGGACCTTGGGAATGACGAGCTGTGGTGTGGTGAATTCGAAGCTGCAAGCAGACTAGAGGCGCGAACTGAAGAAACCTTAGGTTTGGGGGGATCGAACGGCTGGATGTGACGGAAAGTCTGGTTGGGTTCGAAGCAGGGCTTACTTTTGGGTTTTAGCCACCCAAATCAGGCTCCATGAGACTTTACCCTTAATGTTCAGGGTCCAGATAAAGAAGACCCTCAACCCTCGGGGTCTTTTTTCATAGTACCCTCCTCACAGCCGAGGTTAGAATCTGCATAGCTCCTACCAGGAGGGTACGGGCACTACGAGAAAGGTGAGTAACGTGTGTGGGGCTGTGAGGAGAATAACGAGAGTTGCCTCCCCTCTGTTGGTGACCACGAGGTGTGAGTAACATGCTGTGAGGAGAGAAGTGCGAAATAATACGAAGGGAGCTGTCTCCCCTGTTTGTGACTACGAGGTGTGAGTTGCGTGCTGTGAGGAGAGAAAATATACGAAGGGAGTTGTGTCCCCTCTGTTAGTGACTGCGAGGTGTGAGTAGCGGGCTATGAGGAGAGAAGGATGAAAATATAATAAGGGAGTTTGTCTCCCCTCTCTTTGTGACATCGAGGTGTGAGTGACGTGCGCCGCACTGTGAGGGGGGAAAAATGGAAATCCAACAAGTATTTCCTCCTAAGGAAAGCCCCCAAGTCCCTACTACCAGCACTAGTAGTACACTCAGGGGGGGAATATATTCCGCCTTTAACTCCAGGGTCGCACCCTAAATAAACCCTGAATATTTGGAGGTTCCAAAAACCAACTCTTTAGGTGTGGAGACAGCTGGGAGAATGCCTTTTATATGACACACATTCAGGGCAAGAACCCCTGAAAAATAGGCCCTGGTTCCAAGGGCTGGATGGAGGCAGGGAGGGAGGCGACAGGTGCTACCCAACGAGCGAAGCGCGGACAAGTGGCATGACATGGCCACAAGCACGCGACGCAGTAGCGACAAAACCAAGGGATCGGCAACAAGCTGTTGGTAGCTGGCGAAATGGATTTTCCAACTGCCTCGGTGTCGCATAATTATTCGTCGCGAGTCGTTCAGCCAGACGAGATTGCGAAAGCGAAAGGGTAAGACGTCGCTCGTTTCGTTAGACATGGTTACAGTTCTGGGCACAGTAGAGAGTTCACAGGCGTGTGTCACATGCGCGAGGGTTGGCGAAGGGCCATTCGGGGGAGGATTGCCAACTGGAGAAAGTGCTGGCGAGCCGTCTATACCAGCAACACCAACTTTTTAAAAGCCGGACTTTCTATAATTTAGTTCTGTGTGGTTTCTGAATAGACTGGTTTTTAGACCTACTGAATTAACATTGCTACAGCCTAAGGCTATAAACCAGTTTAACACTACCTCTTTCGTTCATGCTGTTGTAGCCTACACCTCCTGGAACCATCTATGTCCTGCAGATAAAGAAAGCAGCAAACGACAAGAAAATACTCAGATACAGCAGCAGCCAACCAAAAGAGCAGAGAAAGTAGCACGAAATACCCCTAAGCCCCCTGTCCTTCGGCCCTGTCCCCCATACCTGTTGCCTGGTGCCAATACCTACGCTTACGCCCATGCCTAAATAGCTTGTCCCCCCTTACCTAGGGCTTGCAGTGCTGTGATTCGCCGGTGTGGGTTCTTATCCAGCATGGACCGAACCAGATCCTTGGCAGCTTCGGACACACCGAGCCAGGCTGCCGAGGCAAAACGAAGAGGCTCCGAGCGGATGGCTCGGAAGATGCCCTCATTGGTTTCTGCCCAGAAGGGCGGCACGCCGCACAGGGCGGCATATGAGACAACGCCGGCTGCCCACACGTCAGCCTGTGGCGACCATACCCCATCGAGGGTCTCTGGGGCGAGATAGAGAGGAGTGCCGCACAGGGTGCTACTGCGGACGCCTGAAGAAGGGAGGACGGATGAACAGGACGAGGGAGAGATGCAAGGGGTTTGTGGGGTGATGGGATTGATTGAATGAGCAAGAGCATACATCCTTAAGTATCTAGCATCGGAGAGGATGGGAAGGGATAAGGGAGAATCGAAGGGAATCCCAAGGGAATCCTCCCAAATCGTGGGGATTTGGGATAGATTGGGTTGGGATAGGTTGGGGATGAAAACATAGCTACACCCAACCTAACAAATATGCGTATCCCTAAAACCAACAAAGTGCCAACACACAAAGTTGTGCCAACCGAATTGCAGCCTACCTCTAACAAAGGGGAGATGTAACCGTAGCAGGCTTGAGGGTATGATATTCGTTCAATGATACATCGCTTGTTACCACTGCTTTTACCTGTTTGGGGCTCCGAGGCAATTTCAAAGGCCATCAGCCTCCTTGGTTGATGCTCAGAAGCAATCCCAAGATCAATCAGCTTAACACTGCCAAAGTCACCCTCGTCAGTCGCTATAAGCATGCTCTCTGGCTTCACATCGCAGTGAGGCAGCCACCAAAGCCGCCCGTCTGGTTCATGGCCATCTAACCGCGAAGCCCTCACCTGGCTGGTGCTCCGAGGCAACCCGAAATCGATGAGCTTGATGCTACCAAAGTCCCCCTCGCCCCTCACAAGAAGCACGTTCTCGGGCTTCACATCCCGGTGCCGCACGCCACGGCCTCTCACCTGGCTGGTGCTCGGACGCAATCCCGAAATCGATGAGCTTGATGCTACCAAAGTCCCCCTCGCCCCTCACTAGAAGCACATTCTCGGGTTTCACATCCCGGTGCCGCACGCCACGGCCTCTCACCTGGCTGGTGCTCGGACGCAATCCCGAAATCGATGAGCTTGATGCTACCAAAGTCCCCTTCACCCCTCGCGAGGAGCACGTTCTCGGGCTTCACATCGCGGTGCAGCACGCCACACTCGTGGCAGTGGTCTAGCGCCGACAGCAGCTGGAAGCAGACGGACGCCGCCGCCCGCTCCGTGAGCGGGCCGTTGGTGCGCATATAGTCAAAAAGGCCTCCCCCGCGACAGAGCTCCATCACCAGATGGATGTTCTGGCAGGGCGACAGAAGCGAGGGGGGAAGGGTAAAAGGCAGAGGGAGGGACACATATGGGCCGTTGGGCGCACGCAGTCAAAGAGGCCCCCCCTTTCCCTCCCGCGGCAGAGCTCCATAACCAGACGGATGTTCTGGATGGGTGACAGAAGCGAGGGGGGAAGGGTAGAAGGCAGGGCTTTGGGAGACACACACATGAATACGAATTTGATCCTTGACCAGGTGGATGTTCTGGCGCACAGGACGACAAGGAGACTTTTGAGTCGACTAAAAAGTCACCTATGTTCTGGCGCAGAGGACGGCAAGGGGAAGATCAATACACGGCAGAGAGCAGTACCCCCCCCCCCATCCCACCCCAACTGCTGTCCCTCTCAACTCACCTGGTGCCCCTCTCGCCCCACCTGGTGCCCCTCTCGCCCCACCTGGTGCCCCTCTCGCCGCACCTGGTGCCCCTCTCGCCCCACCTGGTGCCCCTCTCGCCCCACCTGGTGCCCCTCCCACCCCACCTGGTGCCCCTCTCGCCCCACCTGGTGCCCCTCTCAACCCACCTGGTGCCCCTCTCGCCGCACCTGGTGGTCCTCGAATACGGCGTGCAGGCGAATGACATTGCTGTGCCCCGCCACGCGCTCCATCATCTCCACCTCCCTCCTCAGATCCCGTGCCTCCTCCGCTGACTGCCGCACAAAGGAGATGGGGGGTGGGGGCGGGGGGGCGAGGGGGCGAGGGGCCGAGGGGGGAGGGGGAGAGGGGGAGGAGGGACGAAGGGGGGATGTGCAAAGGACAGAAAGAATGACGATGGTGTCCTTCTCGATCGTCTTGCACGCCAGCATGAGCCCCGTCGCCACGTCGTGCTCTATCCCCTCACACCCCCTCTCTCTCCTCACTCCCGCTCCCTCCCTCACAAACAGATACACACTAACCGGCGTCGACCCTCACATTAATGGTGTCCTTCTCGATCGACTTGCACGCCAGCATGAGCCCCGTCGTCCCCTCCCGGCACACCCTGACCACGCTGAACTCCCCCATGGCCACCACCTCGTCCCTTCGAACATCAAACTGCTCCCCAATGTCTTGGTACGGCTGCCCCAGGATGAACGCGCGGAAGACTGCATCCATCCCCACCGTGTGCCTCTTCGGCCCCACCCACCCCCGCCGCCCCTCGACTGTTGCCTCGGGATCCGCTAACCCCTGCTGCTGCTGCGGCTGGAGGTGCTGGGGTTGGTGGTGGTGGTGGTGCAGGTGATTATGCTGCTGCTGCTGCTGCTGCTGCTGCTCCAGTGCATCCAGGCGTTGCTGGATGAGCAGCCCCTTTTGCACCATCGCAGCATCTTGAGCCGTGAAAGAGGCACTCAGCTGCTGATGCTGCTGCTGTTGCTGGAGGTTATTCTGCTGCTGCTGCTGCAAATGAGAGAGAAAGGTTCGTTTCTGGGTGGCAACCGCCTGCTCCCTGTCGTCCCCAGGCGACCCCCTCCTCCCTCCCGCAGGCGAGTACCCCCCACTGCTACCGGGGGGGAATACTCCCTGCCACTGCCACTGCCACTACCAGGCAACTGCTCCCCAGCCATTCCCACCAGCCCAGGCACCCCCCTCTCGTCCTCGTCCCTCTCCTGCTCCCACCCCATCTGCCACTCCCTCTCCAGCACCCTCGTCGCCTCGTCCTCCCCTTCAGGCGTCCTCGGGCTCCGGCCACCTACTGCCCCACCCATCGCCCCCAGAACTGCTCCCCCTGCCACTCCTCCCATCCCTGCCCCCACCCCTGCGGCCGCCACTCCTCCCACCCCTCCCCCTGCTGCCCCCCTGCCCCCGCTCCCACTCTCCCGGCTCCCAGCGCCCCCCCCGTGACTCCTCCGCGTGCGCCCAGTCCTGCGCGCATGATGGCGGAGCTATCAAGGGACATGGTGCGGTGGTGCTGGTGCCGCTCTCTCCCCCCCCCAACCGATCCGTACTGCCCCCGCCCCCGCACCAATCCTGCCCCCATGCTGCCTCCTCCCCCCACTCCTCCCGCCGCTCCTCCCCCCGCTCCTCCCGCTGCTCCTCCCCCCACTACACCCCCCACTGCCCCCACAGGCCTCTTCTCACTACTCCCCCCACTGGTGGATCTGAGCACTCCGCCCATCCCCCCTCCTCCGCCCATTCCCCCTACTGCCCCCGCACTGAGCCTCCTCCCCTCGTCGCGTCCCCCCGCGCCCTCCCCCTCGCCCCCCCTTTCCCCCCACTCGCTGCTGACCCTCCTCAGCGCGCGAGGCGGCCGTGACGTGGCAACGGGCGGAAGACCGTCGACTTTGTTACCACTGCCACTATTCGACCTAAAGAACGCCCGCCCAGAGCCGGTGTTGGATCTTAAATACACCTGACCGTTACTCGTCTCAGCACCGCTTCCCCAACCCCCATCTCCGCCGCTTCCCCCTCCTCCCCCGCTTCCCCCCTGCTCCCCCTCCAGATCAAGCCTTTCCACCCCCAATCCATCCCCCCAACCTGATGCCCCTTCCCCCGTTAACCCCCCGCCCCCTGCGCCCCCAAATCCCCCTCTGTCTGCGGGGAGAAGCTCCGCCAGTTGCCCCATAGAGCGCATCCGCGGGCGGTGCCCCCGCATCGGGGGAGGGGGGCCGCGCGGATTGAGTGCTGGCGGGTGCCCAGCGGGGGGTTGCGGAGACGCCTGCTGCGGGCGCAACTGGTGCTGGTGGGCGGGCACCTGCGCAGGGGGGAGGTGTTGCTGCGGCACGAATCTCTGCGCGTGGTTTGCGCCTCCTCCGCCGCGCCCAGCGCCAGCAGCGGAGGCAGCACCGTCGATCATCCCTGGTCTCACAGGCGGCGCCGTAGTGGCCTTCTGAAGCCGTCGCTGATTGGCTGAATCCATTACCGGGAGGGACGCCTGCCGCTGGTAATGCTGCTGCTGCTGCTGGTAGTACTGCTGTTGCTGCTGGTACTGCTGTTGCTGGTGGTGTTGCTCCTGCGTGATCAACAGTCGCTGCATCTGCACGTGCTGCACCTGCGGCTGCTCCTGGCTCACATCCAGCACCTCCCATGTGCGCGTCTCCGCGCGCGACGCGGACATCATGCGCCGATGCATCCGCTGCGGAGGGGGGCGCTGCGGAAACCCCGCCTGCGACGGAGGCTGCTGCGGCGGTTGCTGCGGCTGCGGCGGCTGCTGCGGCTGCTGCGGCAGGGACATCCCACCACCAGGCACGGCCATTCCTCTTGCCGAGCCTCCGCCCGAACCTGTCGGCAACCCTTCAGATCCCGAGCTGAATCTACCTGCAACAAATCCTGCCGAGCCTGCGCCTGGGGCAGCCATGGGCCGTCTCCCCGCGACCAACATTTTCCGCGGACCGTCGATCGCGTTGAGCTTTCTCGCCGGCTGCGACATCGAACGGTTGAAACCGCGCGATTCACTCGCGCCGTTGCCAGCTGTCCCCGCTCCCCCCGCATTTCCCCCAGTCCTAGCGGAAACGGGTGGCGGAGGGATCCTTGCGCGGACCTGCGCGGGACCGAACCATCCGGAGTCCGCGGAAGGCATCGTCGCGAGCTCGTAGTTCTCGTCGTCAGAGAGGGACGGCGACTCAGGCGACACTAATGTGCGACTGTTAGTCGCACGGTCTTCCGGAGCAGTCGCTTGGGAGTCCTGCGATGGTTTGCGAGGTCGCACAGCCTCGCATCGTAGCAGCTGCGGGACAGGCTCGTCGTCGTCCATAGGATGTGCGAAACAAGAGGGAAAAGCGGAGCCCAAGACGGCGATGTTCTAGAATCTAGGAAGGGATGACGTGGGAATGAATGAGAGGAATATGATCTGAGGTGAGCACTGAGCAGTAGTGAAGAGGAGCACGAAGCAGTGGGGTGTGAGGAGGACACACTGTAACGGAAGATGCTCTTGTGGCGGCATTCCCCAGGTGAGGGAAAACAGTTCGAAGAAAACAGATCCCGAGACAAGATCGAGGGGGTGTGCTTGTAACGAAGAGCTGGGACCCAGGCAGGGACCACAGCTGGGAAGAGCTCGAGGGTGTCGCGTAGCGGCACTTGCCACCCGCAGGTGCGATCGAGACAGGACCAGCCGAACAGAACATTAATTTCTGGTTATGAAACAGAGCCATGACATTATTAGACATATGCTTGGATAACGCAAATAAATTACACTTACATCTGTGTGACATCCACATTCTTCTCCCCACGAAGAGCTGCCTGGATTCCTCTTGATAGCTGCTCTATCTTGAATGGCTTCACTGCATAGCCATCCATCCCCGCTTCAAAACACTGCTCCTTATACCCTGCCATCGCATGTGCTGTCAGTCCTAAAATAGGAATCCTGGCTCTTGCCGGTGGAGACTTTTTATTGCCAGCGTTTTCCGCTTCAAATTGCCGTATCCGCTTTGTTGCCTCCAAGCCATCCATTACAGGCATCTGTGGGATCAGGGGAGGGGGGGAGAAAGGAGGGGGGAGGGTGAAGGGGGAAATATTGGAGTTGAGGGGGCTGCGTGATGTGTGTGAAAGAGAGGAAGTGGGACAACATACTGATACGTCCACAACGGCACTAATATCCTTCCCCAATTCCACTCCACCCCATTCCCTGTTCCTCTACCTGAATGTCCATCAGAATGAGGTCAAACGACGCCGCCCGTTCCTCAATCGCAGTGAGCGCGAGCTGTCCATTACCGGCAATCTCCACAGTGGCCCCCACTTTAGTCAGTGCATGCTTCGCCACGCGCTGGTTGACCATGTTGTCCTCTGCCAGCAGCACGCGCACCCCCGCCAGCAGCATGGGTCCGCGCGCCCGGGCGGAGGGCACCAGCGGGCCCGACATGGACTTCACTGGCATGCGCACCCTTGCCACTGCCGCTGGTGCTGCCGATGCTGCTGCCGCCGCTGCTGATCTTGCTGATGCTGCTGCCGCCGATGCTGCTGGTGCAGTAGAAGCTGATGACTTGGCAGCTGATGCTCCTGTTGCTGGTGCTGCTGGTGCTGCTGCTGCAGGTAGCGAAACTGATGCTGCTTTTTCAGCGGCAGATGGTGTGGCCAGCACTGATGCCACTCCTGGGGGTGAGAATGCTGCTGCAGCCATTGGTGCGCTCAGAGCCACGGTTGCTTTGCTACTGCTAGCTAGTGGCTTGCCTTGTGATGACTGTACATTTGACACCAGCGGAGGGGCAACACTAGTGCGCACTGCAGTTCCCATATTGCTCCGACTGCCGGTGCTAGCAGAGGCCGTGGTGGCAGTGGCAGTGCTAGCAGTGGTGGTTGTAGAGCTAGAAGTTGAGAAGAGGGAGGAGGAGGAGGAGTAGGAGGGTCGTCCAGAGCTGCCAGCTCCACCTGGCTCTGACCCCTCCATACTGATCCTTTCAGGCTCCACCCGCCTCCCTGTACCCTCGAGTTCCAGCCCCTTGGCCCTAGCCTTGTCAGCAGCAGGCCCACCCGTACCTGTCTCTGCACCAGCATCCTGCCTTCTGCCTAGTGCTGCTGATCCTGCCTTATGCTCTCCTGCTGCATCCACCTGAGGAGAAACCTGAACCTCCAGCCTGCCAGGTGGAGAAGCAGATTGCTGACCTGGATGCATGGACCACTGAGCTGGCGAAGCCGAGCTGGCGGTGCCGCCAGGTGCCTGCCTTGCTACAGTGGAGGGCCCAGGCAGCAGGAAGGGAGGGCCCTGGAGGAGGCCTGGCTTGGGCTTCACAGGCAGCGAGCGCACGGAGCGAAGAGGGGCAGCGGGGAGGGAGGCAGCAGCCGAGGCAGAGGCAGAGGGGGCAGCTGCTGCTCCGGTTGTTGCTGTTGCTGGCGGGACGAACAGAGGTGGGTCTCTGGGTACTGCTGGGCCAAACACTCCCAAGCCTGATGTGGAGCTTCGGCCGTACGACGCAGCTCTGGTGTGTGAGACGAACCTAACAGCCTTGGCACGACCACCAACCGCACCACCAGTAGCCTTCCCAGAAACACTCTTACCACCTGCTACCGCACCGCCAACACCACTGCGACCTACTGCTGCTGCAACTCCTGCCGCTCCCCCTTCTCTCCCCCCTCCTCCAACCACCCCTCCCCCCTTCTTCCCTACACCATCACCTCCCCCAGACCCCGCCTCCCCGCGCTGCAGGGCAGAGGCGGACTCGACAGCCGCCAGATGAAGCAGCAGCAGCCCGGGGTCGGAGCGGCGGTGCTCCAGGCGCCGGGGGGCCAGCGGCCATAGGGCGGACAGGTGAGGCGGGGGGAAGCGGTAGAACTGCGACGAGACTCGGCTCCGCAGCTCCAGCTCCTGCAGCTGCTGCCGCTGCCACGCCGCCTGCTGCTGCTGCTGCTGCTGCGGGTGATGCTGCTGGTTCTGCCCATGTTGCTGCTGCCTCATCTGCTGCTGCAGCTTCTGCTGCTGCAAGATGAGAATCTGGCGCTGCTTCTGCTGCAGGGACGGCTGCCACAGCACCGGGTCAGAGATGGACGCAGGAGCAGAGGGCTGCTGCTCGGGCAGAGGCACCAGCAGTGGGTGATAGTGCCCGCCTGGAAAACCACCTGGGTGCCCGTGGCTCACACCTGCAGTGAGAGCCCCCCTCTCTGCTGCGGTGAGAGCGTCTCTCTCTGCTGCTGTCATGGCTCGGTGTGACCGCGACCGGCCCAGTCGGGGCGAAAGAGGGACGGCTCCAGGGACGATGGGTGGGAGGAGAGCCAGCGAGGGGGAAGTGGGAGAGGTGGCAAGGGGAGCGAGAGGTGGGGATTCTACTGCTGCGGGGGATGTGGTGAGAGGAGCGTCCAGAGCCACACCAGTAGAGCTGGCGGCAGTGGGAGCAGCAGCAGTAGAAGCAGCAACCGAGGGAGCAGGAGGAGGAGCAGCGAGAGGTGGGGATTCTACTGCTGCGGGGGATGTGGTGAGAGGAGCGTCCAGAGCCACACCAGTAGAGCTGGCGGCAGTGGGAGCAGCAGCAGTAGAAGCAGCAACCGAGGGAGCAGGAGGAGGAGCAGCAGAGGGAGCAGCAGAGGGAGCACAGGCAGGAGAGGCAGCAGTAATGGCGGCAGAGGCAGCAGCGGAGGAGGGATCAGGAGCAGCAGAGAGGGAAGGGGAGCGGCGGCGAGCAGGAGGAGGCAACGGGAGGGCCGGGTCCTTCTTAGAGGGGCTCCTCTGGAGTGTTGGCAAGGTGGGGGAGACGGAGGGCTGTGTATGGGAGGAATGGGATGGATGGGATGACAGAGACGTGGATATGGCAGGGGTAGTCCCTGCAACCAACCCACCACCAGTGGCAGACGCTCCAAGGGCTGCCACAGCCGCAGCTGCTGCAGGCTCGTAGCTGCCTCCGGACCTGCTGCCTCTCAGGCTTGCCAGACCTGATGCAGAGGTTCGGACAGCCGGAGCAGCATTCCTAGAGTCACCCCCTGCTGTGCTTGGCCGTGCTCCCAACCCTCCCGCCATGCCTTGGCCCACCGTGCCGTGCCCCCCCATGCTTGCTGGATCTGCAGGTGCAGCGGCAGCGAGGCGGTGAGGTGAAGCAGCGGCAGCAGGAGAAGAAGAGGAGAGGAGGGAGGCGCCTGTCTGTATGTCCATGTCGCCAGCATCGACATCCCCACTGCTCCCCGTGGCGACGCTGCCAGAGCTGGGTCGCGAGGACCGGAAGCTAGTGGTCGACCTTTCATCCATACTGATGTGGCTGGGATGCATGCGCCGGGCAGCCACCGAAGAAAAGAACGGCCGGGCAGCCGGAGAAACATTAGCGCCCGCAGGCCGAACCGCCGTGGCAGGTACGGGGGCGAGAAAGCCCCAGTCGTCTATCAGCTGCATTCCAGCCATGGAACCTGCCGAACCTGACTGCACAGGCTCGGGAGACGAGGCCTGGTTGGGAGGTACAGTGCCCGAAGGAGCCAGCTTTGGGGGAGAGAGAGAATGAGAGGAATCAGATGCGAGCTTGGAGAGCGGAGGGGAGAGGTGGCGCCTGGAGGAGGCCGGGGAGCCTGCAATGCCCCCCGAGAGGCTGACATCGCGGGCAAACGCACGCCCTGCTGCGGACCGTGATGTGACGGACTTGGCTCTCGCCATGGCGGTTGGTGATGCGGGAGGATTGCCGTCTGTGGATGATGTGTCTGAGGGCGTGCATGTGCCCTCTGCTCCCTCTGCTCCTGCCATCTCCTCTCCTGCTGCTGCTGCTGCTGCTGCTGCTGCTGCGGCTCCATCTGCTGTGAAGCGCGCTGCTCCTAACTCTGGAACTGCGACCATTCTTTCTTTTCTGGCTTCCTCCCTCCCTGCTCTCCCTCCCACCCCAGCCTCTGCTTCTGCAACTGCCTTCGCTCCTGCTTCTGCTTGTGTTCCTATTCCTGCTACTGCTTCCACTGCTGCAGGAGCCAAGTCAGAACCAGAGGCAGCATCCGCCACAGAAGCAGCCACTGACGCCCTCTCATCTACAGGCCTTCCGCCCTGCACACTCCCCCCGCCACTCCCCCCCCCACTCCCCCATCCGCTTCCCCCCCACCCGCCACTGCCTGTCCCCCCAAGCCCCCGCCCCGCGCCCCACCCCCTGGGCGTGCGCGGGGAGAAGGCAGCGGCAGCAGGGGAGGTGGGATCCTCTAAGTCCCTCCAGATGCGGGAGGCGCGGGGGGAGGGCATGGACAGAGGCGCAGCAGCAAAGCCAGCAGGGGGAGCTGTGGCATGTGCCCCATGTGCCCCTGGGTCCCTGCCCCCTGGAGGCGAGGGCAACTTGGGAGAGGACAGCTGCTTGTGGAATAATCGTCTGGGTGATGGCAGGTTGGGAGAGGGGAGGCGCGGGGATGGGTGTGCGGAATCCCGATTGAATCCCGGACCTGTCGCTGCTCCTCCCGAGCCTAGCACCGGGCCTGAGAAGTACGCCGAACGTGAGGGCGGAGGGGCCTTGCCTTCAGAGGCGGAGGTAGGGAAGGGGCGAGGGCTGGGGATGGCGATGGTGGGAGGAAGCGTGACACAGGGGGGGATAATGAACTCCGATCTCGCTTCAGCCCCTCTTTGCCCCCTCTCCCCTCCACTCCTCACACCACCGTCACTCTCTCCCTCCTCTCCTCTTGCCCTCCCTGCCGCTCTGGCACTAGCAACCGGCAGAGACGCAGCTGACAGCAAGGGCGCAGCGGAGTGCAGAGTGAGGAGGGAGCGCGGACTGGGAGGGGGTGGGATGCCGACCGAGAGGGAAGCAACGATGCGCGGCCGAGGCGTGGCTGCAGGCGCGGACAGGTGGCGTGCTGGCGCTGGTGCTGGCGTTGGTGCTGTGGCAGCAGGAGGAATAGAATGAGGCGCGAGCACTCCAGCAGCAGCAGCAGCAGCAGCAGCCAGGGGAGCGGATCGGGTAGAATCAGCGGAGAGGGAGTGGGGGAAAAGCATGGTGGCAGGGCTGGCGCTGGCATGTTGAGTGGAGGGAAAGGTGGGGATGCGAGGGGGGCTTTCAGGCGAGGAGACCAGAGGGGACTGGGGCGCAGTGGTGAAGTCCGTAGTGTACCCTGAGCGAGCCGACGCATACACAGAGCGAGCAGGAGTGTGCTCTGCTGACACTCCTTCTCGTATTGAAAAATACTCGTTATAAGCCCCATGCTCTGACATGCTAACAGAGGAGTCGAAACGGGCGATTTCAGCTCCGTAAGCAGCGAGAGGGAAGCTGGGCGGGAGGTCAGAAGGATGGGCGTAGAGAGAGGAGGAGGCGGCGAGGGAAGGCGGGGAAGAGGGGTCGAGGACGTGGGTGGGGTCTGGGAGAGGGGTGGCGCCAGGAGGGGCGCGTTCGAGGCGGGCTGTGAAGTAGAAGGTGGAGCCCTTGCCTGGGTCGCTTTCCACCCACACCTCGCCGCCCATCATGTGCGCCAGGCTGATGGGGGGGGCGGGAAGGAGGGAGCAGCGGCAAGAGGCAGGGAAACAGTACGTCATTCACCTTGCAAGTGCTGCTGCCCGAGTGTACAAGAGGCAGTATCTTATCTTACGACGAGGAAAGAAGGACACTGCCCTCTGCCCTGCCACTCACCTCTGCCCTGCCACTCACCTCTGCACGATGCTGAGCCCGAGCCCAATCCCCCCGTAGTCGCGTGTGTACGACGTGTCGGCCTGCACAAAGTTATGGAAGATCTCGCCCTGCTTCTCGGGACTGATGCCAATCCCCGTGTCCTTCACTGACACCAGGATCCACACCTCCCTCTCCTCCTCCCCCTCCTCCTCCTCCTCCTCCTCCTCCCCCTCCCCCTCCCTGCCTCCCCTTCTCTCCCCTCTCCCCCCAAACCCATCACCCCCTCCCCCATGAAAAGACTCCCCGCTGAGCCCTGACCATCCGCTGTCAAGTCTCCTACTGAGCATGCCCCACATGCCAGACCCCATGCCAGACCCCACCATCTCCCCCTCCCGCCCGCTGCCCCTCCCCCTCCTCCTGCTCCTCCCCGCCCCCCCTCGGCTGATAGGCCTTGCTACTCCACCCCACCCCATCCGCCCACTCCCGCTTATCCTCGCACCCGCGCTCGCGCTGGCGCTTACATAAGTGTGGTCTGGGTGGTGGCGGAGCAAGGTAGGGTCAGAGGCGGGGATGAGCATAGTGGGATCCGAGGCAGGGATAAGCATGGAGGGCTCCGAAGTGGCAACGAGATGGTCTGAGGGGAAGGCACGGGAGCGAGTGCTGCTGCTGCGGCTGAAAACAGAAGAGACGTTGCTGGGTTGGCTCCTGAGGGGCGCGGGTATCAGGCCGTCTGGGGCAAATGCACGTGAGCGCGTGCTGCTGCTGCGGCTGAAGACAGAGGAGGCGTTGCTAGCCTGGCTCCTGAGGGACCCCATAGCGAACATGCCAGGGCTGTGGTCCCGGATACCAGCTGAAGACGCAGGGCGAGCGCCAGCAGGTGCTGCTTGGGGGCCTCCTCCTGCCATCCCAATCGAAAACCCCATCCCTTCCCCAGCTCGTCCTCCCAACCCTGTTTCCTCAGGTACCTTTGACGATAGCGGCGGGCTCCTGACCTTCTTCCCAGCAACCGCCTTGCTGCCTGCCTCCGCCCCCTCCCTCCTCACAAACGCACTGCCCAGATCCGACCACTGCAGCTGTGCGTTAGACTTGAACGCGCCTGCTTCTCCGCTCTCTCTTCTACCTCCGCCCTCCCCTCTCCCCGCACCTGTGTCTTCCCCATCCCCTGACCTCACACCAGCACCACTCGCACCAGCAGGCTCAGCCACAGGATCAGCCCTGGGTTCAGCCCCAGGTGCGGAATCAGGTGCAGCTCTAGCAGCGGACCCCGCCTCGGCTCTCTCACTCGCATTGCCCACATCAGCAGTGGCATCTGCAGCACCATCAGCAGCGTCAGCGAACCACACAGCAAGGTTGGTTCTAGACCCTTTTCTCGAAGCACTCCTGGACCCGGTTCGAGACGCACAGCGCGAAACACCCCTAGACATCCCCCCAGACCCCCCACCATCTCCCCCCTTGCGAGCAGAACCCAGCACTCCTGACCCGCCCTTCAGTGCAGAACTAATAACCCCAGAACCCCCCCCTGAGGAACCCTCTGTGGCGGATCGCTGCATACCCCGCATTCGCACCGCACTCCCCACCGGCCCCCCCTCCCCCCCCGAGCTCGAATCAGCCCCTCTCTCTGCATAATTTAGGCCCAGCAGGGGCCGCTCTGCTGCTCGCTGATTGGCAGAGGAGGAGTGGGAGGGGAGGGAGGGGTAGGATGAGCTGACCAGCCCTGCTGCTGCTATCTTTCCAATGGTGCGCAGGCAGCTGCTGCTGCTGCTGATAACCGCTCGAGGCGTGACGTCGTCATCATCATCATCGTTATCATCATGATTATCTTTCTCATTTTCGTGATCTGTGCTGCTGCTGCCGCTGCCGCAGCTGCTACCACTGCTACCGCTGCTCCCTCTGCTCCTGCCCCTGCTGTGCCTCCTGCGGTGCGAGATAGGCCCCTGCCGCGGCTGGCTGTTAGTCAGCAGCTGGGCTTGTATCGAGTCTAGGGTTAGCCTGGCCTTTGCTGCGGCATCTCTATCACTCGTGTCGGAGTCACCAGCATCTGGGTGTTCTCTCCGACCCCCCTGGTACAGCCCCACTCCATCGAAACCCTGTACCTCTGCGCCCCCTCTCCTCCTCCCGCTCCTCCCACCCGAGCCGAACAGCTTGGCTTGGTCACTCCCGGACCTGACCAGGTTTGCACGGGTCGCCTTAGCTGTGGGTGGAGCAGAGGAGTCTGAGTACCAAGCAGCATCCCCCCTACCCCCATGGCATTCACGTCCAGCCCCTTCGCCACTGCCTCCCTCCATTCCTACCCTTCCTCCCACCCCCTCTCGTCCCAAGCGCACCTCCTCTCCTCGCCCCTCCACGTCTCCTCTCTCTCTCCCTGTGAACCTCCCTGCATGGCCGTTCCCCTGGCTGTGCCTCTGCCGATGCCTACCCGTCTTGCCCGGTCGGTCGCTACCCTCGCCCTCTGCCTCTCTCCTCTCCCTCCCGGCCCCTCGGTCCACCTGCCCCTGAATGCGCTTGCGGAGAGCGAGGGAGACGTCAGTGGGGACGAGTATGTTGGTGTTGGTGCTGGTGTTGGTGCTGGGGCTGGTGCTGGGGTTGGTGCTGGGGTGGGCAGCAAAGGAGGGGGAGATGGGGGCGGAAAGGTGAGCGGACACAGCCCCCTCCCTGCCTTCCCGAGAGGGGGGAGGAGCAGGGGGAGGGGAGTGCGGGGCGGAGGAGGCAGGGGGGCATGTGGAGGATCGGGGGATGAAGTGAGGGAGGTAGTGCGGCTCGTCTAGGAGATGGGGAGCATCATGCTGCTCCGCCTCCTGCTGCTGCTGCTCCCCTTGCTGCCCCCCTTGCTGTTGTTGCTGCTCTTGCTCTCGTTGTTGTTCGTGTTGCTGCTGATCTGGCAGTTGATCATGTTGCTGCCGGTGCTGCTGGTGCTGATGGTGCTGCTGGTGGTGCTGGTGCTGGTGGTGGTGGTGGCGATGGGTGTAATGCTGGCTGCCGCTGTTGCTGCTCCGTGCCTTGTGGTGCTGGCTGCTGCTGCCGCTTCTTGTCTGCTGCTGGCTGCTGCCGCCGCTTCGTGCTTGGTGCCGGGGGCGGGAGGGGGGGCAGAAGAGCAGAGTGATGTCCAGATCCACGGATCCCTGGTGGGTGAACTTGATAGCGTTGCCCACTGCCATGGTAACATATGCCATGCCATGCCATGCCATCCCATGTCATGCCATACACAAGAAGATAGAGATGACACAGAAGCGATGGCAACATGAAGGTTGGGAAAACGGGAGAGTACCTCATGACAGCTCAGTGCACTCACACATGTTGACGACATAACAGTGAATCAACACAGCAGTCGGCCGAACTCAGGCATAACAACAAGTACAACTGCATCTATTTTTGAGGCGCCTCAAAAACAGGCATAACAAGTACAACTGCATTTATTCTTCCTCAGCAGCTCACCACCCACCCCAGTACCCACCCAGGTTGATGATGCACTGCTGCAGCTGAAGGGACGGAATTGGCAGTAAGAAGGTAAGAAATGGCAAGGGGGGGATGCAACCAGCTGAAGCTAAGGGAGGGTGGGGGGGAGAGGGGCAGAGGGCGACGTTGGTTGGGTCCCCCAGCACGGTGTGGGTTCCAGCCCTTTAAGATGGCTCAAACCTATCAATGTGCCTCATTACCCATTGCAGAATACCCACCACCCACCCCGGTACCCACCCAGGTTAATGATGCACTGCTGCAGCCTGCCCGGGTCCCCCAGCACGGTGTGCGGAACTCCCTCCGCCACCTGCCACGAGAAGAGCAGCTGCTTCTGCTCCGCACGCACCTGTGTGGCGTACACAGGGAGAGGGCAGGGAGGGCAGGGTGAGGGGTGGAGGAGGGGAGGACAAGCAGCGGCGCATGAGAGGCGCAGATGTGGAGAACCGCAGCGGCTTCTGCTGGCAAGTGGACCACCTCAGCCCCACCCTCACCTGAGGGAGACAGGGAAGCGGAGAGGGGTGAGATGACAAGCGCAAACGGCGCGCCCACCTGCTGTGAGATGAGTCTACTGGCCTGCAGCATGCCCATGGTCGACCTCACCACGTCTCGCACCACGTCAGAGCAAACGGCACCCTATCCAGAGCCAGCTGGCCCACCTCGATCCTGGAAAAGTCGAGCACGGTGTTGGCGATGTCTGCTGGGTCGAGCGGGCAGTCCTCCGACTGCTGACACCCACCAAAGCCCACCTGCTGGAGCGACTACTCTCACCTGCAACATGCGCATGGTGGACCCAACCATGTCCCTGAGCGCAAACGGGACTCGGTCTAATGCCAGCTGCCCCGCCTCGATCCTGGCAAGGTCCAGCACTGTGTTGGCGATGTTGAGCAGGCAGTCTGCCGACTGCGCCACGACCGTCAGATGCTCGTGCAGCTCCACCGTCAGATCGTGCCGCAGGGCCAGGGCCTCCGCGGAGACGCCGGGTGCAGCGGGGTCTTGGGAGTCGAAGGGCGCGAGGTGGAGGGACTCGAGGGCGTCGAGGGCGAGCGCTGTCATTCCGATGATGCCGTGGATGGGCGTGCTGGGGTGGGGGGCGGAGAGGGGACATGGAGGAGACGGGGGGGGAAGCGCAGGGAGTTGGGAGTGGAAAGGTGAGAAGTGGAGGAACCGGAGGGCGTCGAGGGACAGCACTGTCATCCTGACGATGCCGTGGATGGGCGTGCTGGGGGCAGAAAAAAGCAGTGCATGGCCATCCCACAGTACAGAGAGACGTGGGGGAAGGAGGTGGACTTGGAAGCAGGACGGCAGCTTTTTGGAGGTAAAGTAGGGACGTGAGAAGAGGTGCTGGTTTAGCTCATCTCAAGAGAAACGATGTGATGCACTCCGCTGCAGATTCGGGGATGCATGTGTGAACATGTTTCTCTCATGCACTTTTTTTGAGGCGCCTCAAGATTCGGGGATGCATGTGTGAACATGTTTCTCTCATGCACTTTTTTTGAGGCGCCTCAAGATTCGGGGATGCATGTGTGAACATGTTTCTCTCATGCACTAAGCATATATTTGCAAGCGTGAGCACGTTTCTCCCATGCACTATGCATATGAGCACGTTATTCTCTCATGGTCTATGCGTATATTTGCATGCATGAGCACGTTGCTATGAAGATGCGTACCGGATCTCATGGCTCATGTTGGCTAGGAACTCCGTCTTGGCCCGGCCTGCCTCCTCTAACTCCTCCTTGGACTTCTTCAGGTCCTGCAAGCAAGGGCGCAGGGCGAGAGGGCGGGGTATTCAGGAGGAGCGGAAGGAACCATGCCAGGCAACCAGCAATCTATGCTGGTTGCTCCTCCAACTCCTCCAACTCCTCCAACTCCTCAAACTCCTCCAACTCCTCAAACTCCTCCTTGCACGTCTTCAGATCCTGCAGGGGCGGTTGGCGGGGACGAGGGAGGGGTAGAGAGGAGAGTGGCGACGAGGGAGGGGTAGGGAGGAGAGTGGCGACGAGGGAGGGGTAGGGAGGAGAGTGGCGACGAGGGAGGGGTAGGGAGGAGAGTGGCGACGAGGGGGAAAGGTAGTGAGGAGGCGTAAACCATGCCAGCCACCACGTAAGCCATACTGGTTGCTCTCGCCCCATCTGCTGCCCTTTCAGTCTGCTCCCATGTGAGGCCATCACTGCAGCAGCCCCTAGACCCCCCACCCTCATTCTCTCACTTCCTACCCGCCCTCTCACCTCATTCACTGCCTGCATCTCCTCAGTGCGTCTGGCCACCTCCCCTTCTAGAGACAGGTTCAGCTGCCTGAGCCCCTCTCTCAGCCTCCTCGTGTCCCTCACTGCCGCCGCCAACAGCACTGCCCCTAAACTCAGCACCACCACCAGCAGCTGCACCTGCAGCACCGTCCCATTCGCCGATTCTCTTACTAGTGGCCCCCGGCCCTGCGCCGTGCAGAAGCACACAACGAGGACGACTATAACGAGGATGAAGCCTGAGCCCTTGCGGTGGAAGCGGATGCATGCCCAGAGGACGCCCGGGAACAGCATGTAAGGGAGCGCGGCAGTGGCAGCAGTGGCAGCCGTGGTAGATGGGGCGGCAGGGGTGTAGAAGAGGAGGAAAGCCATTCCAGTGTTGAATAGTACCAAGGAGACGAACTCCCAGAAACGCAGGGAGGAGAGGGCGCGGCGCATGGTGAGCAGCAGGGGGTTTGTCAGGAGGTTTTTCAGGTGGTAGCGGAAGGGGCGGCGGAGCGTGGCGTAGTTGAGGGTGGGAGTGGTGGTGTGGTGGGAGAGGTGGGGGGGGAAGGGCAGAGTGCGGAAGGAAGGGGGGGTATGGAGCCTGCTGCTGCCCGCACCTTCCCCCACTGATGTCGCATCTACATCGGATCCTACAGCCATTACTGACGCCACATCCACACCCAGGGGTCGTCGCCCGTGCTGCTCATCTAGGGGAGGCTGGATATTCGTGGCAGCAGCGAAGGCTGATTCAGCTTCGGAATGGGGCGATTCAGAAGCATTCAACTCCTGCCCCTCCTGCCCCTCCTTCCCTTCCTGCCCCCCCTGCCCCCTCTCCCCCTCCTCCCGCCCACACCGGCACAAGCACCAGGCAGTGACCTGCATGAGCAGCGGCACCGTCAGCACGATCCCCGTGAACGACCCCAGCGTGCGCAGCCCCGCTGCCACCGCCACGCTGTCCCCCGCCAGGTCAGCGTCCCACATGCTGACTAGGACCGCAGCCACCCCCTCGAAGAGCAGCGAGACGAGGAAGGAAAACAATGCGAAGAGGAAGATGTCTTTCACGCGGTCGACAGGGGTGAGGTCGTTGGGGCGCAGGCGGTGCAGGATGCGAGTGAGGAAGAAGGAGAGGGAGAGCACGGAGGCAGTGCGGAAGGCGGCGATGAGGAGGGACGCGAGGGCGACTTGAGCAAGGGTGAGGTGCGCTGTGAGGTGCCACGCCGCCCCCGTGTACACGAGGAGCGCGCTGCCCAGGAAGATGCCCGGCCATGTGGCCCAGCCGAACACCTGATGGAGGGGGGAGGGAGTGGCCGGATTGGGCAGAGGGGGACAGAGTGAAAGAGATCAGGAAATGGTAGGAGCGTGGAGGGGTGTAATAGAAACAGGCTGGAAAACGAGATGGGAAGGGGAGGGAAGGGAAGGGGAGGAGAGGATACAGTGCACGGGCTTACGAGCACGGCGAAGAGGGCGAGGCCGGACGTGGACCAGACCGGGCAGGGAACGAGCAGCGCGTGCAGGGATAGAATAGACAAGGTAATCAACAGGTCTGCTAAGGGCCCCGTGTGAGGCTGGAAAGGCTGGAAAGCGCGATGCTTACGAGCACAGCGAAGAGGGCGAGGCCGGACGTGGGCCAGACGGGGCAGGGCACGAGCAGCGCGTCGCCGATCTTGCCGAGCCACGCCATGAAGAGCGACGCGCCGAAGATGACCACCGCCACCAGCAGCACGAGCACCGCCCGCCAGTACCACCACAGCCGCCGCGCGTCCACGCAGAACGGCCAGAGGTGGCGGTTCCCCCCGTGCACGAAGCACGCTATGATGGCCTCTGAGGAATATGACGATGATGATGCTGCTAGGCCTGTCTCTGAGTCCGAATAAGTTAACCCCTCGCCCTCCTCCCCTTCCCCATCCTGTTCTCCTTCACTCGAACTCCGATCCTCCCTGTCGTCACCCCTGTCTCTCCTCGTCCTAGCGTCCCCCTCCCCTTTCGCCTGTCCCCCCTCGCAGTCATCTTCTCTCCTCCCCCCTTCGTCTCTGTTTCCCCCCTCTTCCGCCCCCCTTCTCTCTGCGACATCTGAAGCAGCACCATGCCGCTGACTGGGAACGGGCCTCTCCAGGCCACTCAGTCTTGCTGCTGCTGCTGGAAGCGAGGCAATCCCAAGACTGCCTGAATCACCGACGCCTGCTACATCCCCTGAACGGAGTCCCGCGCTGGTTCCTTCCGCGCGCGTGCCTGGCGCCTCCCGCGGCTCCCCCTGCTCTAGGTCCCATTCTTCCGCGCGGAACGACGCGAGCACGGGGAGCCCGTCTAACGCGCCTTCGCTCAGCCGCAGGTCCGGCTGCGGCGATTGGTCGATACTGACGACGGCGTCTTCCGTGTTGCCACGTGGCAATAGCCGTTCGACCGGATCAGGCGGTTTCAGTGCCGGATGCAATGGACGCTGCGACGAGTCCATTGTGCTGGACGATTAATTCTCAGTTGGTCGACTAGTCCATACTGGTCGCTAGTACTCCTATCCGTAGCAGGACTAAGCACACGAAAGAACCGACATGTCATGGGTCATGCCGACTTGTCAAACTAGTCTGGTTCGTGGAGTCAGAAGGGGGCTTTGAGATTTGGAAGGACCGCGAAATGTTGGTACGGGTTATAACGATAACAACAGCTGAAAATACACGACGACTCTTCTGACCGCGGTCGATAACTCATAGCTAAGGCTCGATCAGCATTTCACTGAGCGTCCGTCGCAATCTCCTAGCCCCGCGTTCACCTAAGGCGTCAAGCTGAAGCAATGAAATAGCAATCGCGTCTCTAGTTGATTGTCTCAAGAATCATTTCACTGAGTGTCTCGCGTTTGCTATCAGGCACGGACTTCACAGAGAACGGCAAAGCAGCCGACAGGATGCACTTGTCTTCAAGATGTGAGGGACAGGGGGGAGTGACCAACAGGGGGTGGTGGAGTGGAGGTGGGGTGGAGTGGAGGGACATAGGGAACTGTTCTGATACCCGCTGCAGTGAGCAGGAAACTGTGCTTGACGGAAATTGGTGCAACTGCCAGAGTTGTTTGTTCCATGAGGGAGGCGTTACCATCAGTCCTGACTGCGAAGACACGCGATAAGAGCATGACGCCGTAATTACGGTTTCCACAAAATGAACGAGGACAAACAGGCGTACACCCCGATGTCAGGCCGAAATCAACAAGAGCCTATCAACAAAGCATCACATGCATGGATCATTCAATTCATTCTAAGCTGCTCTATCATGACCTAGGAGGTGCCACTGCAAGGCCGAGCCTGTATTCCATCATCTCATGCAAATCCACAAGGGGAATTTCCACCTTATCTCCATAACCTGCGAGCGAGTCCAAGAGATATAATTTTAGCCATCCCAACCCAATCCAGGCATTGCCCATTGCCATCAAGTTGAGATGGCTTGTACTGGACAGGCTGTAAGGAGGTGAGGAGCTTTGAAATTGAAACCACTTACCGACCACATCTTCCACTGCGAGCTCATCAAGAGTACCCATCATGGACTGCAAGCCAAGATGAGATGACGGGAGACCAGGCAACCGCTTGACTCTGGAAAACACAAAAGCATTGTAACATGAAATGGAAGAGAAGTGCAGAATGACCATGACCATGTTGCCAGAGAAAGAAAACATTTGCCACAGCAGAACAATCCATAATTCAAACGCAGGATCTGAGCAATATTACTTACTTGGACAGTATTTGCCGCTCCATGTGCAGCTGCGCAGGGAAGGCTGACCCATAGACCCTCCCCAAGTTCATGTCAACGAGACCCTCATGCTCCTTCAGTCTCTGGAAAAACAGGGAGATGACCCAAGAATAGTGTCTGGTGTCCTACCGTTTCCCCACCACTCATTCCGCAAGAACCATATACTTCTCCCAGGCTATCATGATGAATCAGAAAATCGAATAAATATTTTTACCCGAGCTTCAGGGGAAGGACACCGAGTCAGCGCGCCTTAACGCCATGATTACCGCAACACAAAGGCCCAAATGCTCGCGATATAGGATAGTCGCCGCTAAAAAAGGAAGACTGAAACTCTGCTGCCATCCGTGGGAAGATGTCACACAGAAGGCAGATAACATGAGGAAAGGGTATACCTGGAACACTGGTGCTCAACCGAATACTCACCATGAGACATGAAACCTATCACGAACCTGTCTCTGTATCTCTTCGACCGGATGAGCGGCAGTCACTTCGTCGCGGAGCTGACCGAGACCAAATCGCATGACATCGCGAGGAGCCTCGAGATGCGGGAGAGACATGCTTGGATCCTGATCAAAATACGCGACGGACGTATTCACACAAAAGTACACGTCAGTTCACGCAGATGCATACATCTTAATTGGAAGTGTGCGTAAGCTGGACGTCTATTCTTGGATCCTACCATTGCTCGTAGCTCGTTCACAGGTTTCCAGTCTACCACAATCCTCAGCAAGAGCAGGCATCAACAAAGAGCAGAACTCTGGCGAATGTCCACGTTTGAACGCTGTTTGCTGATTCAACTCCGATAAGAAACGGGAACACGAACAATAGGTCTGGTCATGTCACCAAGCACATACGCTACAACATAATATTCGTACCAACTCTTCATGCTTACGCCACAAAACTAGCTTATGCCCGTGTTCTTATTGTCTAAGCATTTCATTTCGATAGATTAAAAATATCAAACAAACGTGTAACCAATACTACAGCATACCCATATGTGTACTCATATTTGCTTGATTGCTCTCATATTTCACCATGCTATGTGTGCATCTACTAGTACTACAGTTTCATCTGTGGCTTCTTCAATACTCTGGGGTCACCCTGATTGGTACCGTAATCTCCCGGATATTCGTTTATAGGACCTGATTGAAAACGTGGGGGGGTGTAAACGAACACAATCATGTGTATATGTTTGTTGAGATAACTTCGACCTTCAAACGACGGATGCTGGTACGGGAAGTGAAGTGGCGACTGGTGGTGGCGGCAGTGGCGGCGGCGGTGGTGGTGGTGGTGGTGATGATGATGTGAAATGTGGTTGACAGTGTGGAGTGGATTAGCTCTAGGCGAACTAGCTGGGTGGTGGTGGAGGTGGGGGCAGAAGGAGGGCGAGATGGGGAGAACGGAAAGAAGGTGGGCGACAAGTGGAAGAGCCAATGTACCACAGTGTCGTATGCCGTGGTTTTGCATGCCATCCTTTGGTACACCATGGTATAGCATACGATGCTTGGTACACCATGGTGTGGCATACGATGTTTGGTATACCATGGTGTGGCATACGATGCTTGGTACACCATGGTGTGGCATGCGATGCTTGGTATATCATGGTGTGGCATGCCATGTTGTGGTATAGCATGCCACATGCACTGTCCTCCTTGCTTGACATTCCCCAAGCCACTGCCAACCTGCAATGCCATTAAAGGTGGGGGAATGTCAGGCAAGTAAGGTGGGCGGGAAAAGAAGTCAGGGGTAGCTGAACGGAATAGAAAGAGGCATATAGCAAAGGGAACGGAAGAGGGGGAGTCAGATCGAGATGCGGGGAGGGGAAGAGGGGAAGGATGTCACGCATGGTTAACTGAGGCTAGAGCTCGCAACAGGAATTGGAATAGGCACTGCGATTCCCATCATACTCACCCTATATTTCATCCTTACCCATGTTGCTCACAACTGGACCAGAGTCAAGAAGCTGCTGGCAACTCCGAACCTCGGCCCTTGACACGTTCTCCAATATCCTTTGCTGCCCTTGTTTTTGTGACGTCATGGAAAACGTTAAAGAGAACGACGGGGCGCTTAAGGGAGGGTGAGAGAGGAGACAAGCAAACGGACGCAGCAAAATCATGAAATCTGAAAACAACCTGGTCAGCTAGTAAGCCCAGCTTGCATGTGCGGCATGGCTATGGCTAGTGTACATACATCCCGTACACCACACATTGGATTTTTCAATGGACAACTACTCAGTCTCTTACAAAGCATCATGGCGCACTATATACAATATATACCTTTAGCGCATTGCATTTCACGCTCTATTCACGAGCCTCCATTCGCACCCCAGCAATCACCTCCATCAACACACCATTTTAACCTTGCAGCGTGTATATAGGAGTCACGCAGAAGGGTTAACATCTCAGGTTCATATAAATGCGTACCTCACTAGCTAGAACACAAGGAGCCTGTCACACAACGGGTGCACACACCTGGTGAGACTAGATGATCCTTTGTTGCTCACATCATGACTCAATAAGCCTTAAGCTTCTCTCCCTCTCTGCCCTCGCCTCTCCTCCCCTGCTGCGGCTAGCTGCATCCGCAACTCGTCCCTCTCCTTCTCCACCTATGCTAATGCCGCCTGAGAGAGGGAAGATTGGGTAGGGTAGGGGGGTTGGTTTGGCGGGAATGGAATTTGAATCGATCCAGAACTCCCCATGTCTGCTGGCAGCAGGTTGCTTTCACAGCAGCTGCTGTAGCAGTAACTTGAAGAGCGGGGAGGTAGGAAGCAGGGCGAGTGAGGGAGGGCCGGCTGAGAGGGAAAGAGAGGGTGAACTGCAACAGAGAGAGGATGGGGGGGAGGGGGGGGGGGTGGGATAGATGGGAGATGCATCCACAAGATGATATAGCAAACACACCCACTCGTTTCCAAAGCACTCCTCAACCATACCACCCCCCCCCCCCCCCCCCCCCCCCCTTGCCCCTTCTGCTCATCCACCTCCCGCCCGCCTCCCACTCATTCCGCTTACCTTGAGGCTCGCGATTAGCAGATCCCTCTCGTCCAGCTCTGCTGCCATCATTGCCACATGCATATCCTCTTGCCCCGCCTTCACTTGCCCCTCATCCCCACCTCCAGCACCACTAGCACCACCACCAGCAGAAGCAGTAGCAGAAGCACCAGCACCACTACCACCATCATCAGAACAACTGCCAAAAAGACCAAGGCGAGTAGAAGGGTTGGGAGAAGGTGGGGTGGGAGCAGGTGCGGCCACCCACGCGCGCTGGATGTTAGGCACGTGCAGCATGCGAAGCCGAGGCAAGGAGCTGATGCCAGTAGGCAACGAACTGATAGACATAGCAACCTGCTGCAGACAGACGTAGCAGAAAGTCGGAGATGCATCCACAAGATGATATAGCAGACACACCCACTCGTTTCCAAAGCACCCCTCCACAATACCACCCCCCCCTTGCCCCTTCTGTCCATCCCCCTCCCGCCCCCCTCCCACTCATTCCGCCTACCTTGAGCCTCGCGAGTATCAGAGCCCTCTCGTCCGGCTCTGCTGCCAGTGTCGCCACACGCATATCCGCCTGCACTGCTTTGCTTGCCCCTCATCCCCACCTCTAGCACCACTAGCACCATCAGCAGCAGAAGCAGCAGGAGCAGTAGGAGCAGCAGAAGCAGCAGCACCAGTGCCACCATCATCAGCACTACTACCACAAAGACTCAGGCGAGCTGCAGGGTCGGGAGATGGTGGGGCGGGAGCAGGTGAAGCGGGAGCAGGTGGGGCGGGAGCAGGTGGGGCGGGAGCAGGTGGGGTGGGAGTAGGTGGGGCGGGAGCTGGGGGGGGGGAGCAGGTGGGGTGGGAGCAGGTGGGGCGGGAGCAGGTGGGGTGGGAGCAGGTGCGGCCACCCACACGCGCTGGCTGTCAGGCACATGCAGCCTGCAAAGCCGAGGCAAGGAGCTGATTCCAGCAGGCAAAGAACTAATACAAAACCGCATTGAGCAGATCGCCAGAAATGTGAGGTTCTTCAACTCTGAAAAGCTCCCTGGCAGTGCCCTCTGTGAATTCCCCTCAAACGATAGTTGCCGTAGCTGGGGCAGCGTGGATCCAATGTATTCTGGAAGCCTCTCTACTCCAGGC